TTTACTTTTTAGTGCTTTTGTTTGAAGTCGGTTTTTATTTTTTTGTTAAAAAGTTTTTATTTTTCCCTTTTTAGTGTAGACAGTAGTAGCAAAGTAAGGATTCTAACGCCGTTGAAGAGTTCCACCTATCCTTCCACCTAACCTTCTGGCCTTGCCATCAGATCAGGTCAACAACACCGAACCACTGTACTATCAACGGAAATAGAAATACTTGCAAAGTTTCAAGTCAATATGACAATTAGAAGTAGGTTAAATTCATCATTAGGTGTTTTTCCACCCTTAGGGGTGGTATTTTTTTTTTAAATTTAAATGGGACCAATCTGGAAGTATACCCTTTCAAACAAAACAAAAATTGTCCAAATCGGTCAATAAATGACGGAGTTCTGAGGTAACAAACATAAAAAAAAAAAAAACAAAAAAAAAATACAGGCGAACTGAGAACCTCCTCCTTTTTGAAGTCGGTTGAAAAGAAAACAAAGAAAAGGTGAATGCTCGGGAAAATAGCTGTTTCAATTATTCAATATCCCTAGGGTACTTTCAGTACACGGTTTTTCTAACTTAACTACCAGTTGCATTGTTCGACTTCGACCCTACAAATTATAATTTACTGGCGTTTTACCGCTGCTTCGCCTACGTCGTTTTATTATAGAGAACTAGCATTGCCCGCGGCTCCGCCCGCGTTCAGATGACCAAAATACCAAATTCTTAAGTTTTACATATTAGTATACTCTTACAGTGCAGTTTTTGTATTTTTTCTCAGAAATGAGACATTTTCCCGCGGTAAAAAGTATCCTATATGTTGACCCGGATAACCAGCTATCATCATATCAAATTTCACCAAAATCCCTCCAGTAGTTTCAGCGGTAACAGACAAACAGATAGACAAAAATTCATAAAACTATAGATTCGGACTTTGTATCGATAATAATGTCTATTTCAATTAGACTTTCCAAAAAATATTTAATGTACAGATTCGACTTAGTTAGAATTTTATTATACGTATAGATTACTCCAGTCTTGTACGTCGTAGTGTAAGCCAAAGAAGCCCAAAGACAAAATTGAATTGAAGTTGGTTACTAGAAAATTGAATTGAATTTAATTTGGTCCAAATGACTCTTAATAATATTGAAAATATATGAGACTTAAACGGTTTTTTTTGCAGTTATAAAAATGTGTGGAAAATCAGGAAAAACCTCAAAAATCGCAGCGTTTATCGTCATATTATTCAATGCTGTTACTCTGGTAAGTATATTTATTATTACTAATAATAGACTGTTAGCTTTTATGCAGTCGGGTTTTTTTATTTTTATAATATACTAGCATTGCCCGCGGCTCCGCCCGCGTTCAGATGACCAAAAACCAAATTCTTAAGTTTTACAATTATTAGTATACTCTTACATTGCAGTTTTCGTATTTTTTCTCAGAAATGAGATATTTTGCCGCGGTAAAAAGTACTCTAAATGTTGACCCGGATAACTAGCAATCACCATATGAAATTTCATCAAAATCCCTCCAGTGGTTTTTCTGTGATGCGGTAACGGACAAACAGACAGACAGACAAAAATTCTTAAAACTATAGATTCGGCCTCTGTATCGATAATAAAGTCAATTTCAACAAGATTTTCCAAAAAATTTTTAATGTACAGATTCGACTTAGTTACAATTTTATTATATGTATAGATTTAATACTTCGAACAAATAGCCTGTGAGCAAATTTTATTCACTTAAATCTGGTAACTTGTTAGAATAGCGTTTAGAAGTTAATAAACATACAAATTACACACATTTTAATGCTAAAATTTATTTAATATTTTCTCAATATATATTTTTTTTCAGATTTTTTGCATTTTGATATTTTCGATCAGCTTATGGATAATCGTGTCACCTAAAACTTTATCTTCTATCATACAGTCTCTTGGAAACTCAACGATAAAGGTGAGTATCTCTATATGTTAGATAATAATTTATACTTAAATCGCATAAGAAAAGTGGTAATAAGCCTTGCCCTGCTTTGATCCTACTAGTATATATATTATAGTATACATATATATATATTAAAAACTCGAAAGTTTGTGAGGTTTGAATGGATGTTTGTTACTCTTTCGTGCAAAAACTACTGAACGGATTTTGATGAAACTTTACTGTAATATAGCTTATACATCAGAGTAACTTATAGTCTATAATTTATAAGCATATAGAACGCGTGTGGACACGTACAAGCAACTGCTACCAAAATTTTTTATACATAACACTAAATCCTGTCAATAGCTATTAAACAAAAAAAACATACATATGTTGAGAAATAGAAGAAAAAGGTACTGAAATGTTCACAAAAACAAAACTTATGTATAGACATATTGTGCTTTGGGAAATCTAATAAAAAATGTAGTCGCTACCTGTTTTTAATAAGGCTTATTACAAACGAATCAATAAGTGGATTATTACGATTTTAAGAATTCAATGTACGGTCGACGCCTATCATGATACGTGGCCTAGAAATAATATGTCACGCAAAATTTTATTATTGTACTAGCGATGTACCCTCGTTTCGCTCGGACGCGACCCTAGGTACGTTTTAATTTTTTTAAGGGCAACCCTAATTGTTTTTCTAAAACAAAAGTAGTCTAAGTTACTTAGTTATAACATCACCTATCTGACAGTGAAAGTCCCGTCGAAATCGATCCAGCCGTTTCGCAGATTAGCCGGAACAAACAGACAGGCAGACAAAAATTAAAAAAATGAGTTTTTCTTATAAATACGGTATATAATTCCATATGCATTTAGTAAAATGCTGTTATTTTGACATTACAAACAGACACTATAATTTTATTTATCTGTATAGATTAAATTGTCGCGTGTTCTCTTTCCCCTGTTAACAAATATTTAAAGTTTCTTTAATAGTTGTACCTATATAATGTTGTAAATACGTAAGTTTTAGTGTATTTTTGTTATTTCTTGACGCTAAAACGGTTGGTAAGACGATGACCTGGATTAATACAAAGTTTGTTAGTAATTGCTTTTAGAAAAAAACATTATAATATAATAATATGTTGGGACATTAACACACAGCACCATCTAGTTCCATGGTAAGCTACGAGGCTTGTGTCATGGATACCAGATAGTTGATACACTACACATATATAACTTTAAATACATACATATTATAAATATAAACACCCATGACTGGAGTACAAACGTTCGTGCTCATCACATAAATGAACCCCAGCGGGACTCTAACCCGCGACCGCTGGGCACAGAAACTACACTTGCACTCCAAACTGAGCCAAACGTATCGTCAAAGATACATAATAGTGTTTTAGTAAATATTGAACAGAACTGTGGTATGTCTCTGCATGGCACGGTGATGGCCTAATTTTTTAACCTACTTCAAAAGAAAGAGGTTTTTAATATGACTTTTTAATTTTTATGCGTTATGTGATAATTTAGCTTACTTTTAGCTTATATATTATTATACTAATTACTAGCGGCTCACCTTCGTTTGGCTCATCTCTAGTGAAAAACAAAAGCAAATCTATCCCACGGGAACCGTACATTTTTCCGTACATTTTGCTATTCCAGATTATAATCTATCTTTGTGCCAAATTTCATTCAGATCGGTTCAGCCGTTCTGGTGTGAAACAGTAACAAACATCCAACCATCCATCCATCCTCACAAACATTCACATCTACTATATGTATGTATATAAATAAAAATGAATCGCCGAAATGTATGTACGCGCATAACTTCCGATCGACTGCACCAAATTGGATAATTCTTTTTTTTTGTGTTTATTATTATTATGTCCGGAAGTTTTGTATAGAAGAAAATTAAAAGAAACTTTTTTTTACTAAATTAAGATTTTTTTTAAATCTCATATTATGAAAATTGAGCGAGGGAAATCATCCCTTAAGGGGGTGAGAATGGGGATGAAAGTTTGTATGGGGAAGCAAGGACGAACCCGAGCGAAGCGAGGGTGAGTCGCTAGTTTATAATATAAGTATCGACTCGCCCGATTTTATTGTGATTATTTATAGGGTTGTCCTGACGATATGACATTATTTACTGGAATTACTAAAACTAGAATTGCAATATTTTTGCAATATTATTGCAATATGTTCGACTTTGAATGAAAAATCGGATCTGATAGATTATGATCTGGAATAACAAATGCTGTTAGGTTCCTAAGGACGCACAATAAATACAAAGAAAGGAGTGAAAGTGTGTTTGTTTGTTTGTTTGTTTGTTTGTTTGTGTGTCCTTTTTTCACGTCGAAACGGAGAGACGGATTGGCGTGATTTTTTGTGTGGAGATAGTTGGAGGGTTGGAGGGTGACATAGGCTACTTTTTACCGCGGGAAATTATCTAATTCCCATGGAAAAGCACGTTATAATACAATCCAAAAGAATATTTATGATCAGAATTACTCGAAACTTAGCATTAATACTCTTCAATAAAATCAAATAAATACGTGTTTTAGCATTTTTCGAAATTCATACTATAAGGGGGTAAAATAGGGGATGAAGGTTTGTACGAAACTTCCTTTTTAGATATTTTTTTGTAGTTTTAGCGCGAGCGAAGCCGCGGGTTCTGCTAGTATTATATAATTTTTGGAGGCTTGAAACTAGCACGATATAAATGAGGTTTTAGATATATTATGTATATTGTATATACAATAGAAAGCAATTTTAAACTATTATGAACTAATATGAGTAACTGCTATTCAGGTCACATCGATACAAAGAGAATGACACGCAATCTATTTGTAGATAAATTTTTAATAATTTTAACCTATCTAAAAATAGAGAGTTGTGTTATATATATAAAGGCAGTAGTAGCTTAGTGGTAACGCACTCGCTTTGGAAACAGAGTGAAGCGGGTTCAAATCCCGGGTCTCGCACCTCTGATATTTTCATGTGCGAATCATGTCCAACATGATTACCACTTGTCTTTCGGTGGAGGAAGTAAGGAAACCTGGAGAATCTGGTTTTTCTGATTTCAGATGATGATACCGTTGGAGTCGCTGACATTGCAACTTGGTATAGTGGGCGCGCTTATATCTGCGTTTTTCTTCTTCATTTCTGCCATGGGATTTTATGGAGCTATAAGTGGTTCACAGTTTCTATTATTTATGGTAAAATATACGGCTTTTTTATATTTATAGGGTAATGTACCTTAAAATAGGACCCCTTATAGGATAACGTCGTCCGTCTGTCTGTCAAGACCTTTTCGCTCAGAAATCCGTAGAGGTATCTAGTTGAAATTAATATCAAACAATCAGGTCTCCAAACCCTTGAAGCTGTACAAAAATCTAAACTCTAAGTCAACGCAATTAAAAGATAGGGCTCTTTATGTCGCATATTTTACACTCGCAAGTGAATCAAAATCTTCTACTACAACTTCAAGTTCCCGTAGACCTAGAACCATGTTTGGCGAGAAGCAATGATTTTACCACAAGAAAAGTTAAAAACGTTTCAATGTTGGTATGCACTGCTATTAGCCAAGATTTCACCTATAAAGATACTAATATAATAATCATAGGTTTTAGAGACTAATTTTTGGAAATAAAGAAATAAATATGTTCGGACATTAACACACAACACCATCTAGTTTCATGATAATCTACGAGGCTCGTGTTATGGATACCACATAGTTGATTCACTACACATAGATAATTTATAATACATATAAAAACGTACATATTATAAATATAAACACCCATGACTGGAGTACAAACTTTCGTGCACATCACACAAATGAAAGTCCCCAGCGGGAATCGAACCCGCGACCGCTGGCATAGCAAGTAAAGTCACTACAAACTGAGCCAAACGAATAATCCAAATAATCTGTTAAAAGCTATGTTTTAGAGTTAAGGCGCAGGACCGACGGCTTTACATGCTCTCCGAGGCACGGGGGTCAAACACCGCCAACTTCCCAACTCCAGGCTGTTACTGAGATTTACTATACAAAAAGACTCGATAATTAAACTTGGCCCGACCCGGGACTCGAACCCAGGACCTCCGAATGTGCAGCCGTACATGCTAGCCACTACACCACCGATGCAGTTCTCATACTCTCATACAACCTCTTTATACGCTATATTCGTATGAAAATGACAGTCAGAAACTTTTAACAATTTTTCTATATTTTCTTTCAGTACGCAACACTGGTGATACTTTTGTTACTTCTGGAATGCGCTGTCATGTTTTATGTTTCGTCAAACGCTGTGGAGGTAATTTTTTATCTGTAATTTATATATTTTTTAGCCATTTTTACTAATTTTTTAAACAATTTTATGCTAATTTGGTGGCAAAATTAAAAATATACTTTAACAGGTGATCCAAATTCCAATACTGTTAGCTTATCCATAATCCAAAAAAATATAAATTTGCCTATGCTACCTTTACAGATTCAAGAATCCATACTAATGTTATAAATGTGAAAGTTTGTGAGTATGGATGTTTGTTACTCAATCACGCCAGAACGGCTGAACGGATCTGGATGAAATTTGGCACAGAGATAGATTATAGTCTGAAATAAGCACATACGTTACTTTTTATCCCGGAGAAATGCGCGGTTCCCGTGGGATAAATTTGTTTTTATCTAGGGACGAATCTGAAGCGAAGCGAAAGTGACTCGCTAGTAATAATCTATAAAGTTTTGATTGGTTTATGATTTTACTATAGATACAAACTTTTTTTTTAGAAAGGACTTCAAGAGCACAGTGTGATATCACACTCAATACGACTATCATTGAAATGCTGCGATGTAAATGATACGTAAGTTTTTGTACCCTAATAATTATTATTAGCTATACATATCAAAGGCAGTGGTAGTTCAATGGTAACGCGCTCGCTTGGAAAACCGAGTGAAGCGGGTTCAAATTCCGGGTCTCGCAACTCTTATATTTTCATGTGCGAATCATTTCTAACATGATTACCACTTGCCTTACGGTGAAGGAAAACATCGTGAGGAAACCTGCATGTCTGAGAGAACCTAGCAAGTTTTCGAAAGACATGCTCAGTCCGCCCGCACTTGGCCAGCGTGGTGGACTATGGCCTGATCCCCCTCGTATTGAAGAGAGGCCAAACCCAGCAGTGGGACGTTAAAAAGGGCTGAATAGATACATATTAAAGTTTGTGAAGATGTTTAGATGCTTATGAATGAAAAACGCATAAGCCGTTAAACGGAATTGGATAAAACTTTGCAATCTGATAGACCATATACTGGTTATTATTATTTTTCGTAATTTGAGCACAGAATAATTGTGTTGTGGTTTACATGAGACATCTACTTACCAAATTTCAGCCGTATACAGTATACCTAACTCCAATAATCCCGATCTAAGTGGCTGCGACGTTTGTCTGTCCGTACGTATAAGACAGCTTAAAAATGTTTTTCAAAAAAAATATATAATTTATAAACTGAAGAGTAATTAATATATATAGGCTTTTAAAAAAAAAAATTTCGAAATTCCAAAAAATATATTTAAAAAAATACATTTTTCTTTTCAGAAAACCACAACAACAACTTGTTTGGTCATGTTGTAATGCTACAGCCTATGAAAATTGCACCCGTGAAGTAGCTTATACGATGGTAAGTTAATCTAAGTACTGAAGTTCGATGCGCGTTTAAAGCAAAATATTAAATTAGTCTGTTTATATGTATGGAATAACCACTCGAAGTAATATGTAGTAATTTAAACTCTTTATACTAATAGAACGCTCCATTATCGTATATGAATATAGGCTATCTAGTATCTTTATAATTAGACTAGCGACTCACCTTCGCTTCGCTCGGGTTCGTCCCTAGGTTGCTTCCCCATACAAACTTTCATCCCCATTTTTACCCTCTTAAGGGATGATTTCCGAAATAAAAACTATCCTATGTCCTTCTTAGGGCCTCAAACTATTTTCTTACTAGATTTCATCTAAATCGGTTCAGTAGTTTCGAAGCTTATTCAGTACAAACAAACAAATCTTTCCTCTTTATAATATTAGTATAGATAAGCTGGTTATTTTATTAGCATAACCTGAGTGATGTTAATGTTATAAATGTTGTAAACCCATTGATATATATAAAAATTAAAAACATAGATACACATTTCCTAACAAATATCTCTTCAAAAATTGGCGTCGATATGTGACGTTAAGTCAAACCAAGGAATAAAATTCAAAAATCGTCAATTGTCTAAACACAAATTCGAACTTACGCACACCACATAAAATACTTTTTTAAACGAAACATCGTTCGTTTTAATTTTTTTATCCGAATAGCAATGAACAAATGGCATTTGATTCAATTCAATTGTGCATTTCTTTTTGAGAGTATCTTGAGTTTTTGTATATCAATGTATTTAAACTCTAAGGCAGTGGTAGCCCAGTGGTAACGCGCTCGCTTGGGAAACCGAGTGAAGCGGGTTCAAATCCCGGTTCTTGCACCTCTGATAATTTCATGTGCGAATCATTTATAACATGATTACCACTTGCCTTACGGTGAAGGAAAACATCGTGAGGAAACCTGCATGTCTGAGAAAAACCTAGCAAGTTTTCAAAAGACATGTGAAGTCCACCAACCCGCACTTGGCCAGCGTGGTGGACTATGGCCTGATCCCCCTCGTACTGAGGAGGCCCGTGCCCAGCAGTGGGACGTTAAAAAGGGCTGAATACAAGAATACAAGTATTTAAACTCTATTTAACTTTTAAATAATATGAAAATTTAGTAAGAAAGCCAATAGTAAATCCAAAAAAATATGTAAGAAAAGTCAGGCGTGAGAGCAATTATTAAACGATTTATGTACTTCCTATCCAACAAGACCATTTTTTTTTTCAGAACTATCTCAATTTTATCAATACAATTATGCCTAGATTCTAAACATCTCGAATAGATAGCTTTAAAACCTAAAATAATTAAACAATTTCCAGGGTTGCCAACAGAAATTAATAAAATGGTTAAGTAAATACGAAACTGCCGTATACGTAACGCTGGCTGTGGTACATATAATATTGTCGTCCTGCTCAGTTCTACGACGTTCGTTCAGTGCGTCTCACTCGCACAGCTAGCGATCGCAGCGCCGTTTAGGCGGTAAGATGATTTTTTAAAAATTTAGACATAATAAAATTCTAAGTCGAATCTTTACATTAAATATTTTTTTGGAAAATCTTATTGAAATAGTCATTATTATTGATACAGAGGCAGAATCTATAGTTTTTATAATTTTTGTCTGTCTGCCTGTCTCTCTGTCTGTCTGTTACCATATTACGGAAAAACCACTGCAGGGATTTTGATGAAATTTGGTATGGTGATAGCTAGTTATCCGGGTCAACATATAGGATACTTTTTACCGCGGGAAAATATCTCATTTCTGAGAAAAAATACAAAAACTGTAATGTAAAACTATTAATACTACTATGTAAAACCTAAGAATTTGGTTTTTGTTCATCTGAACGCGGGCGGAGTCGCGGGCAATGCTAGTAATTAATTAATATATTTAAGACTACGCAATTCAATCCAAATCAATTCCATTCCATTCAATTCTGTTCATTTCAATTCTACTTACGTTCAAAGCGAACCAGTTGAGCACATTTATTACTTCGTCATCTATCTTCATTTATAAAACAAAATGCTGAAAACTGCATTAAAATCCGTTGAGTAGTTTAAAAGATCTAAGCGAACAGACAGCGGAAGTGACTTCATTTTATACTATGTAAAGATTAACATATTAATTTGACAGCTAAAATTTAAAACTTTGAAATTTTGACAGTCTAATCCTATAATAAGAATTTATTTTTGAAATTAAATACCTGTAGGAGTGGCAGGTCTGTACCGGAAACCAAATTATTTGTTTTTTTTTTTAATATAAATAAATATCTTGGTACATTACACACACAGCACCATCCAGTTCCATGGTAAGTTACGAGGCTTGTGTTATGGATACCAGATAGTTGATAAACTACACATACATATATAACTTTAAATATATACATATTATAAATATAAACACCCATGATTGCAGTATAAACATTCGTGCTCATCACACAAATGAATGCCCTCAGCGGACTTGAACCCGCGATCGCTGACACAGCACGTGGGCCACTACAAATGTAAAAGTGTGTGTTAATTATAATATAGTATCAATAATCGGGAAAAAGAGATCTCTCGAACTATCAAGGAATAACAGAATATTTGTTCATTATAATTAACTTACTAAAAATTACAATTCGTTAATATTAAAAGACCATTTTGTAATTTCCAGCATCATCGTCTCCAAAACCTCGTAAATGGAGATCTCGTGTATCACCCACTATAGAACCGCCGACCGATGACGTCCTGATGTTGGTTTTAGGCAGAGGCAGATTCGGTTGGGCGGAGAAGTAGGAAATGTTGGAATTGCTCAAATTCTACTTATATATTACAGACTATTGTTGGAAATGTGAAAATTTGTATGTATGTCTGTATGTTTGTTACTCGTTTACAATTTTTGACATAAAGGTATAACACCTCCAGGTAAATTTGTAAGAAATTAATTAAATTTCTAAGAAATCTATTGTTAACTGTAACGCCGGCGTGTCCGCGGTTTGGAGGGATAATGATAGACCTCTAAAGACGCTAGTATAAACATACATAATACATATATTTTTTAAAGTATGTAAAGTTGTGATTGGAATATAATATAGGTATCCTAAGTTTAATGAAACTGAATGGCTTTTTTAAAATATAATTATACTAGTTAATTAATAAAATTATCTTCAAAAAGAAAACACTAAAAAAAGCACTATGTAAATAAATATATACTCGTAGATACAGGGTCCGAACATGTTTTTATGGAAATTTATTTGAAATATTTTTAAAACTTCTTCTTGTATAACATCCTTCTCCTAGCCTTTATTCTAACTAAAATAATATGTATTATATCATATCTATTAACAAGTTACTCACCCTCGCTCCGCTCGAGTTCGTCTCTTTCTAGTTACGTTTTAACATTTAGTATAGATTTCTCAGAGATGAGATATTTTCCAGCAGTAAAAAGTATCCTATAGTTGATCCCGATAACCAGCTATTATCATACCAAATTTCATCAAAATCTCTCCATTGATTTTTCCGTGATACGGTTACAGACAGACAGACATACAGACAATTTTTTTTATCTTTCTGTCTCTGTTTGTTCTGGCTAATCTCCAAAATGGCTTGACTGATTTTGACGGGACTAACACTGGCAGGTAGCTGATGTTATAAGGAGTAACTTAGGCTACTTTTATTTTAGAAAAAGAATTAGGGTTTCGCTCAAAATAACTAAAACCTACGGACGCACCCCAGCAAGCGACGGAAAGTCAGTAGTAGTATATAAATGTAGGGAAAATGTTTCTTACTATTCTCATTTCGCAAATTGTTTAAGCTCAAACTTAAAATTTACTTTATTATTTAAATACTCAAAACGTGTATTTACACTTATAATTATAAAGAACAATAATTGTTTATGTGTTCAAAAAAAAAACAAAATTATTTAAAAAAACGGTTTATTTAAAACGACAATAATTGACACACACTAATACGCTTTTCTGTATCATGGGCCGGAATTAATATATATATATATATATAAATTTTCAATGAAAAATTCAAGCATTTACCAGTATTAAAGTGGTAACATTATATTTTTTTTATTACATTAAATGCTTCATCTCCTTCTCACATTCGTACATTTTTTAAGTATTTTTTTTAATCTATAAGAAACGGCCCATAACATAAAACATTAAATATCCACATACACTCAAAAAAAACAAAATGGGCACTTATTTCTATTATATTCACTTGGTTTACAAAATTGTTTAATAATAATAATATATAAATGCGTTGCAACCTCCTGGCCTATAATATACTCAAACAGACTGAGCAATACTGTCATGAAATTGACCACTCTGTTGAAAGAGAGAAAGTGAACGTGCGGCCAATACCCGTCTTTTATTCCAATTTGAATTTATAAATGGTATGTGAAAAAATTATAATATTATTGAAAATTATAATATTATAATGGAATGTAAAACGGTTATAAATATCTACATATGTTCATTAATCGTGTTTCAATTAATACAGAACACTTCTGGCCGCACATTCGTTTTGTCTCTGTCGCGCCTTTCCGCCATTTTTAACTGATGGTTAGCTGGCTGGATAATATACAATATATAACATAGACCAAGAGTCAACTTAAAAATATGTCAAAGAAATGATTTAGCTTATAAAAATTAATCTAGTCTTATTATTTAAATACGCAGTACAATTTGTAGTAGCTTATTTATTTTTTACTAAATAAATAAAGTTTTTGTCGATGGTTATATTTTTTTGTTTAAATATTATTAAAATAAAATATTATATATATTGATAAATCGTCAAATTATAAAAAAGAAATAAAATTACGTATAACTAATACAATAGTAAAAAAATAATAATTTATTATTAGGTAGTATATTCTTATACTGTCATGTCTATTTTGTGCACTGGTAACATTTTTTTTAGTGTTTTTATAGTACCTTCCAATAAATAATAAAAAACGAATTATATTGATTTATTTTATCAATTTGAGGCAAAAAATCTTTAAAAATTGAAAAAATATTTAAAAATAAAAAAAATACGTCATATATCATTATTTAAAAAATGGTAATTTTGAAGTTGAATTTTTATTTAAATGAAATGATATAAAATCATAGACTAAGAAGTGACTGACTTTTATCTAGAAAAGTATTGTAAGGAAAAATATAGGCTAAGAGGCGACTGCTTAAAACACCCCCAACTAAGAAACTAGTATTTTTTTAGTTCAAAACGTATTTAGTTGTAAATATCATTACGAATAAAGTGATAATGGATATAATATTTCTATTAGCCATTCCAGGCACGGGGGCAGCACTGGTACACGAGTCTAAGTGTCTGAACAATTCATTGTAATTACGCGCTGCTTCATTACTGGAGTCACTAGATGGCTCTGAGAGTCCTACAGCTGTGTCTTTAAATAACAAATTGCTAATTCCATCGAGGGGAGAGTACATCTCCAAGTTGATTAACTGAGAGCCTGTGTTGTATCCAAAGAACAAATCCAATGTGTCGAGGAAAGCATTAATAGTGTTTAGGAGTGGGTCGTTTCTGGGAAAAAAATGGTTTTGTTAATTACGTTACTATTGATATTCGATACTATATAAGATTCTGTGTATTTGTGCGTGTGTGTGTCTGTGCATGTGTGTGCGTGTGTGCGTGTGCGTGAGTGCTCTAGATCACACAACAAACGAATAAATAAAAACTTTCTGTATATGTGAGTGTAAATATGTATGTTTGTTATTCCTTCACACTGAAACGGCTGGACGGATTAAGATAAAATTTGATACACCGACTATGACCTGAATAGGCTAAGTCGCTTATATTATATTTCACAAGTTTACAATTATATTTCATCATTCAATTTCCCATACAAACTTTCATCCCCATTTTCATCCCCTTAAGATATGATTTCCGGAATAAAAAATACCCTATATCCTTCCCAGGGTCTCAAACTATCTTCTTACCAAATTTCATCTAAATCGGTCTAGTAGTTTTTGAGTTTATTCGTTACAAACATACAAAAATACAAATCTTTCCACTTTATGCACATGAAATCTCTTTACCAGGTGTTTTAAATAATCAATTCAATTTGCCAGTTCTGATAGATATAAATAAAAACATACCTTCTCATTAGAACTTCAGAGTCTACAACAAAAGCCAAGAGGCAGTTCTCATCGATATTGATGCCGGTAGAGAGGGCTAGAGTGTTGTTCCTGCAGAGCGCTCGTACTTGGTTTGGTTGGAGTCCAGCGTCTCGGAGATGCGCTGAAAACGTTGAATGATATATTCATTTCTTTGTTTACATAAAATATAGTTCTAAAAACAAATGAAGTTTATTATCTTGTTGCTTGATCCATCTGTATTATTAATTTTTTAATTATTTCTGTTGTTTTTTTTATATAATTTTAATTGTACTTTTAATTATTAAATAAAACTATCTTTTCGGATTATTTCGCGGATTTATTTTGATTTTTGGTTCCCGACGTTTCGAATGCTTTACAGCATCCATGGTCACGGGAGAGTCTGTCTCTATCTAATCCGAAAAGATAGTTTTATTTAATAATGTCAAACATTCGCGTAAATCTAAGAAAGTATTATGTACTTTTAATATTTTAATGAATTATGTTTTAACTTAATTCTATTTATTTTTTATTATTTAGTCGTGTGTAATTTTTTATTGTATGTACCTATTTCTAGTTCTCCATTATTTGTGAAGTGTTTCTTTGCAATGCGTGAAACACCTATAATTAAGATAACATTCAGACTCCTTGTGGGCATGCTATAATTCTGTGTTTTTGTTAATGTATATCTTGTTGGTGTTAGTAATAAATAAATGAAGAAATGAATGGATGGATGGATGGATAAATGAATGAATGAATGAATGACTCAATTAATGAATAAATGAATGAATATATAAATAAAGTTCAGTTAGTGCGGGCTCTGTGACTTTCACGCTAAAACTGCTACAAATATTTTGGATTTTTAGTACACAAAATTTTAATATACCTTGATATATGCTACAGTTAGTCATAAACTTTGTCAAAAGCCGACGCTGCCTGTAGGTATCCATACTAATATTATAAATGTGAAAGTGTGTTTGTTTGTCATTCATTCACGTCGAAACGGAGTTACGGATTGGCGTGATTTTTTGTGTGCAGATAGTTGGAGGGCTGGAGAGTGACGTGGCTACTTTTTATCGCTGAAGACTATCTATCTCTCACGGGAAAACACGTTATAATACAACCAAAAAAGATATTTCATTATCAGAATTACTTGAAACTTGGTATTAATGTTTTTCAATACAATTAAAGAAATACGTGTTTTAGCAATTTTCGAAATACATCCCATAAGATGGTAAAATAGGGGATAAAAGTTTGTATGAAATCTACCTTTTTAGAGTTTTTTTTTTGCAGTTTTAGCGCGAGCGAAGCCGCGGGTTCTGCTAGTGTTATTATAAGTACAAAAGACAAATATATTTTCAACACTCACCTTCAATGTTATGTAGATCAACAAACGCAACATCACTGGCTGGGTCAGCGAGACATCTCATAGTACCATTGTTTCCATAGTACAAGTTATTGTAGTCGTACTGACATGTGACTGAAAAAAGCAAGTCAATTTTTAAGAAAAATCATAAAAAGTTGTTTAAAAACAATGTTATTGGAACTAAGGTCCTTTTCGCTTGCACTCGGCACACTTGGCGAATGAGAGCGAGACGGGAACAAGTGTAATATCTGGACCGTCACGACACTTTAACCGCCGACGCAAAAAGAGGGGTGTTATAAGTTTGACGTCGATGTGTGTGTGTGTGTGTGTTTGTCTGTGGCATCGTAGCTCTTAAACGGATGGACCGATTTGTATGGTTTTTTTTTCATTTGAAAGCCAGTTTCATTGCGGTAGTTTTTAGCTATGTTTGGTTAATATCGGTCCAGCAGTGTAAGAGTATCAGCTCTTTTCCGAAATGATATGAGGCATTTTGGCGTATGATTATTCGATTCAGTGTTTCACGCGTGCACTGTACCTAATCATTAAATGACAATTAATTTGCGTTGGGGGTTTTTAAAATTTTTTATTTATTTACAACTTTTTATTGTCATCACAAGTGTTGAGAAGTGTAGGTATGTTGTAAGAAATTCATGTGCACTCTGTGCAGTTCTTTTTGTTATAAGCTACAACATAATAATAATATCCTCTCGGCCGATATCGACGGCGGCTAATCTCATTGAGGAGGTATTATAGTGCATAAGTATACGCGCAGACACAAGTGCACTCTATTCCTGTCACCCTCATACTCTGGTGGGACGAATACTCGACACACAACACAGGAAATAACAGGGGAGGTCTCTCCCGTGACCATGATCGCTGTAAAGCATTCAAAACGTCGGGAACCAAAAATTAAAATAAATCCGCGACAAAATCTGAAAAGATAGTTTTATTTAAAATGTCCAATATTCGCGTAAATCTGAGAAAGTATTACGGACCAAAAGTTTCAGAGATTGGTGCGTTCAAACAAACTCTTAAATCTTTTTAAATAGCTAAAGTTTTATATATTAGTATATTATATAGGCAGTGGTGATGAAATAAAAATGATTATACTCACAAACATCAGGTTGGTGGGATCTGCACAAGTTACACAAATTCGTCGCGTTGTAACTCTGAAATGCAATGATGAGTAATAATTTAAAATTATGTTAGACGACACGTTTGGCTCAGTTTGTAATGACCCTACTCGCTGTGCCAGCGGCCGCGGGTTCGAGTCCCGCTGGGGGCGTTCATTTGTGTGATAAGCACGAATATTTGTACTCCAGTCATGGGTCTTTATATTTATAATATGTATGTATTTAAAGATATATGTGTAGTGTATCAACTATCTGGTATCCATAACACAGGCCTCGTAGCTTACCATGGAACTAGATGATGCTGTGTGTTAATGTCCCAACATATTTATTTAATTTACCTACGGAAGCATTTGAATGAAGCAAGGTTAAGCTGCTAGGTTTATAAATGAGTGGAACTCACGCTTTCACCAAGGGCATGGCTGTTGTCAGTGGCACCAGGAGCACAAGCGCTTTCAAAGAACTCTCCCACTGCCCTTCCATAGTCACACTCTGACGCACTAATAATGCTGCGCTCGTGCGCCACTTGCAAGAAGGAAACGTATGCTGGAAAGATATTTACATATATTATTAAGAATAGATCAATGAATTATAGTATCAAACTGCTATTATTTAAGAAAGATTGTATGTTTGTGTGTTTGTTACTCCTTTTAGCTCAAACGGTTGAATATTAATAATGTCCATTCGACCGTTTTCGACCACAGTAAAGCCTCGTAGCTTACCATGGAACTAGATAATGCTATATGCTAATGTCCCAACATATTTATTTGTTTTATTTTGTTTGTCATTTTTTAGTGTCCCATTTTCGTTTCATCGAGTTTCAAATCACAACAGATTCTAAAGAAGTTTCACTTCAATATAAACAAATTTACTTATAATCAGATTTACGTACCAATCCCCCCAAATTCTGGGAAACAAGCTTTTCTATTGCGAAGGTTCTCAAAACGTGTGATGTCGTTGGAAGCAGAAGTTTCTCTGAGTAATGCGACGATGCGAGAGAAGGCTGCTGCGTTGCTACGAGAGTTCTGAATTAACTTCACTGGAGATAATCTAAAATGTCTGCAAAATATTGTTCAATTATGTATTTGATCCATATAATAATCATCTTATTAATTAGTTGTAGGTATATATTTTAGTAATCGCCTCTAAAAACCTGTATTTTGATAACTTACTCGATTGATTCGGGCGAACTTTTTTTCAGGCACAAATTGGTGCTTAGGATACGCCCTTTTCATTTTTAATGATATCTTTATACCTATACTACGATATTTCCGATATCAAGACAAATCTAATGACGTATGAATCATCAAAATCGGTTAAAACGTTTAGTAATTAGGTACTAGGGAACATATGATCGGATATACATACATACATGCTATACTATATATACACACAGGTCAAACACATAAGCCTCCTTTGGGCTTCGCCGCAGTCGGGTAAACATGAGAACGTCTTCGAACTGTAACGGCTTAACAGATTTGAGCGAAATTCGGAATGGAGATAGCTTATATGTTGGTTTAACGTAAAGTTTATTTTTTCGCAAGGCAGTGGCAGAATAGTAATAACACCACTTGGATAACAGGTACAAAATAAATTTAGTGGGTTCATCTCCTCCCCGGGTCTAGCACATCTGATGAACCATTTTTCAAATGGTTATCAATCGCCTAGCTGTGAAGGAAGAACTCACGAGGAAACCTATATGTCTGAGAAAACCTAACTAGTTTTAAAAGATGCGAACTTTGCCAAATCTGGTTGCCAATGTTGGTTAGTTTTTCAAAAACTTATCTTATGTCCTTAAGGTTTAAGGTTTCGTCACTCAAAATCTAACCATAATGAGTTCAATACATTCAAAATTACAGATAAAATTATCATACGTACTGTCGTGTAAGGTATCCATAGTTTGAAGCAGCTGCGATGAAGTCAGCAGTATTGTTCCTTATATCAGAGAAGCAGCCAAAGATGTTGTTTCGTCGTTGGCAAGAGATAGCAGGTTCGATGCCCAACGTGTGAGCTGCGCTTCTAATCCACATACATTTATTGTATTCTTCATTAGAAATCGTACACCAGCGAAGAGGAGAAAGGCAAGTCGAAGATGCATCGACAGTAGGAAAGGATCGAGCTGAGAAAGAAAACGTAATGTTTTTGTTAGATACGTTGAATAAACCCTTGCTAAATACACATTTATCATGTGGTGGCAGTGGTAGTCCAGTGATAACACAGTAGGTTGGAAAACCGAGTGAAGTGGGTTCGAATCCAGAGTCTCGCACGTCGTGTGAAAGTTTTTGGTCCAAAAAAAAAGATTTTTTCTTTGAACTTTTATACGTTTCTAAACCATTCGATTTGATGTTCGCACTCGAGTGAAGCAACGGTAAGTTGCTAGTTATTTAATATTATTCATGATTTACACATTTCATATGCATTTTATGCTTTAAAGAATATGTATTATCTACACTATGTAATAATATTAACATATGAAATTTTGCTCTTTAACATACCTCCCTCAGTATAGTTCTGTGGTGACATGACTTGTCCAAATGTCACTCTCGCGTTGACACCTCCCACTATACCAAGGAACAATGATGACTGCCACGTGTTGGATGCAGGGTTAGTACCATCCGGCCACCACTGTTGTAAAGTGGCCGCGATTTCATCTGCTCTCGACCTGTTTTATAAAGATTGCGTTTAGCATCATCTGGGTTTCCATTTTGGTTATGGAAAATAACAAATCCTCATCATATATTTTAGAGACATACAGAAGCAAAATCTAAAAACTGTAGATAGGACGGCACGTTTGGCTCAGTTTGTCACTTTGTTTGTCACTTGCTATGCCAGCGGTCGCGAGTTCGACTCCCGCTCCCCACATTAATTTGATGTCATGACCACGAATGTTTTTTCTCCAGTCATAGGTGTCATTTATAATATGTATGTATTTAAAGATACATATGTGTAGTGTATTAACTGTCTAGTATCCATAACGCAAGCCTCATAGCTTACCATGGGACTAGATGGTGCTGTGTGATAAAGTCCCAACATATTTATTATTTATATAGCTCTTGCTACAACATTCAATTTTGCATCAATGTTTGTGTATAGCTTACGTATAAGGCATATATATATATGCATACATTTTCCAACATTAGAAAAAAAAAGAAAGGTGCAGCTTACGTGGTGGCGACAATGCCTCCCCAGGGTTGTCTAACAAAAGAGCAAGGGGCTGTTTGGGAAGATAAAATTTCAGTTGTCAACACTCGTGTAGAACCGTCTTCGCAGAGTGCAGCGTATGATGTTGCTTCTTGCGGGTTACGGAACTTTAAATGGAAATTATTAAATTAATTCTGACTTCTAGTAGAGATTAGTAGTGATATACAAGATGCTGTGTGTCTCCTACTGACCGACTTTGGTTACGGCAGTCAACGAGACTAGCTAAGTGGAAATATTACAGTGCAAATGTTTCATTTAACTAGAGAGAACATGAAATTCGGTTTTGAGTACTTTTCGGAACACAGAGGTGTAGTACCGTTGAGTTCTCAATTCTAGGCTCTGGGATTCCCGGGCCTCGAACCCAGGACCTTCGGATTTACAGCCGTACATATTAATTTGCCACTATAAACGAGGCAGCTTAAATAAGTTTCCTGCGGCTTTAGACAAGATGATATTCTACAATGATTAACGATAATAAAAAAATATTTATGGGAATGCCATATTTAAAATATGTTATGTTAAATAGTCATAAAATGTCATTCTCATACTATATTTTTCAAACTTTGTAATAGTCCAATCGGAATTCGGTTTGGGAACAAATAAATAAAAAGCTCAAGTTTTATGGTTTTAAAACTTTAGCAGGTATATAAGGAATAGAAATTCGTAAAATGCCCCCGATCCCAGCTGCCCCCGAAAAATGGCGGGACGCAAAGCGTTGAAAAATAGTTTTTTTTCAATTTCCGGCTTACTATGACGTTCTATCAAAAAATATTCTCTACAAAAGTTGTAGGTCTAGTTTCTACGACTTTTTTAGATTACACTTTTTACAATGATCTCCAAGTTTTCGAGATATTTGCAAAAAACTCGGTTTTTAATTTTTTCTTTGACATAAAGAACTTGAATCGACGTAAAAAAATTTTTTCATTTTCTTACAAATATCTCGAAAACTTTAACACAGTAAAAAAAATTATCTAGGAAGAAGATAAAAAATTAGCAGAAATTTGAACATTTTTCGAAAATAAACTACTCATACTTATAGCTTATTTTGGCGTTTTGATATTTTTGGATTATTTCGAAATAAACCGTCCCGTTATCTGAGAACTTGGAAATTAGAATCAAAATTACTTACGTTGAAGAAATCTCTTGCATGCTGCCACGCAACAAACGCAACACCTCTATTGCTGTTGTTATCATCACTGCTGGTAGAACTGTTGAAGCTGGATCTCAAGCATTCCAACGCTTGGATATGTCTGTTGTTGTTTTGAACACCAGCCAAATTAGGGCCCATATCAATAGTGTATGTTGAACAATTTGAGTTTAGACCGCAGAGAGAGCAGAGCGATTGATAACGATTTCCTAAAAATAATAAAAAGTATCACTTTTGGCACGTTTGGAAAAAAAAATATGTGAGTAAAATTTTTACGAGCGCACACCGACAGCCAAAAAGCGACATGATGAAGTTAGCTGCATTCCTTTTACAAACAGAAAGTTGTGACACTCCGGATGAAATCTTTAGTTATTTTTGTTCTGTTACGCCCAAGAAGTATGACTTCTTACGTGCGTACATAAGTACACACACACGTTTTTTTATTGTGTTTCTTACTCTTTCACGATAATTTAGATAAAATTTAGAATTTAGGCTTTTTTGTCATTGATGACGGAAAAAGACTATCTCTTGTCCCACCCGAGATTCAAACCCAGCTTATCATATTGTCTCAGCCATATAAATTATACTAGAGTAACGAAATACATGTAACATGTATTGTACATACTAAGATCTGCGTCGATTGTGGTATTTGCACTCCAAGGCCCTGGACGGCAGGCACTACCAAAGAAACGGCTCACGGCTTCCACTTCCAACTCCTCAGCAGTCTTGCCATTTGTGTCTACATCAGGACAGACGTCTGTTTTTGCGGCCTATTGATAATAAAAAAGTACATATTTTAATATTTTTTCCTTAAAACGTAGTTTTATAGAAGTCATATTTCTGGTAAGCACTTTATTGAAGTTGGGTTCGTCCCCAGCTTGATTTCCAATACAAACTTTCATCCCCATTTTCACACCCTTAAGGAATGATTTCCGGGATAAAAAGTACCCTATGTCCTTCCCAGGGTCTCAAGCTATCATCTTACCAAATTTCATCAAAATCGGTTCAATAAATCCAGAGATTACCCCCTACTACGTCACAAACTCACAATCTCACAAAGTTTACCTCTTTATAATATTAGTATAGATCAAGAGTTTGATTAAGGCGAATAAAGAATTGAATGATAGCAATCATTACGCGATTATTCTTTTTAAAGTCGCCGACCGTCTGTCTCTTTCTCCCCTTATTTCTTCTAAGCCACCACAATGGATTTTGATACGATTCGATAATAGAAACAACGATAGATGAGGAAGGTTTGTGTATATAATTTAATATCTTTATATATATAATTCTTCTGTGAGTGTGTATGTCACTGAACTTCTCTCAAACGACTGGACCGATTTTGATGAAATTTTTTGTGTGTGTTCAAGGGGATCTGGGAATGGTTTAGATTCACAATTTGAATAATAATTTTCATCAAAAAAATTATTAAAAAAGTTTGAAATTTTCAAATTAAAGACGTGTAGACAGGACAACGTCTGTCGGGTCCGCTAGTTTTGTATAAAATAGCTGACTCTAGACGGTGTTTTGTGAAAAAAAATCTGTTTTCGTTCGATTACATGTCTAACTCTGGCTTTTGTATATATATAAAAAAGCACGCGAGCAAAGCGAGGGTTTGACGCTAGTAAAATATTTAATGTACAGATTTAACTAAGAAAGAATTTTATTATATGTATAGATATAATTATTTTAAAAATATTAAGAAATGTGTTTATTATACAGCTACTAATAAATAAGTAGATTTATTAAAAAAACTACTCAAGGGGACACCCGCGTTTGAACCGGGGACCTCTCGATCTGCAGTCGAATGCTCTACCACTGAGCTATATCCCCCAATGTTTTACATATACAATACTTTGGTCAGTTTCAAAGCAGCGATATGTTTAGTCAAAATTATATTCAACTAGCATTTCCCGCGGCTACGCCCGCGTTTAGATGACCAAAAACCAAAGAAAATTGTGTTTTTGGATTTTTTTGTGTGTATTTTGGGATTTCACATGTCTTTCGATAACTTGCTAGATTCTCTCAGACATGCAGGTTTCCTCACGATGTTTTCCCTCACCTTAAGACAAGTGGTAATCATTTTGAAAATTCACACGCGAGAATATATACGAGACCCGGGATTTGAACCTTGCTACTACTGCCTTTTCACCCCTCTTCATCCATTCTTAGGTTTTACATATTAGTATACTCTTACATTACAGTTTTTGTATTTTTTCTCAAAAATTAGATATTTTGCCGCGGTACAATGTATCCTATATGTTGACCCGGATAACCAGCTATCACCATAATTTCATCCAAATCCCTCCAGTAGTTTTTCTGTGATGCGGTAACAGACAGACAGACAAAAATTCTAAAAACTATACATTCGGCTTCTGTATCGATAATAATGTCTATTTCAATAATATTTTCCAAAAAATATTTAATGTACAGATTCGGCTTAGTTACAATTTTATTATATGTATAGAAGAAAATTAGGGGTCAATGTACATGGTTGGACTCATTTGAACATCACTACAGTCATGAAATAAAATTTTCGATATATCTTAACAGATAATATACACGATGGAATAAACAAATGGGCTTGGAAAAGTAACATAAATATTGAAGCTATCAAGTTTAAACCAATGGAAAGATTCTTTAATTTTTTTTAAATAAAAATCCCGAGCCGGTAATTGAATCAAGTAAAAACGTGCAAAATACTACCGTTACTATTTCATCGAAATATGTTTAGTGTTGTAGTTTGTTTGTTTGTTTGTTTGTTTGTTTGTTTGTTTGTTTGTTTGTCCTTCTTTCACGTCGAAACAGATCGACAGATTGGCGTGATCTTTTTGTGGATATAGTTGGAGGGCTGGAGAGTGACATAGGCGACTTTATACCGCGGGATATTATATCATTCCCACGGTAAAACACGTTATAATACAACCCAAAAAATTATTTATGATCAGAATTACTTGAAACTTAGTATTAATGCTCTTCAATATAATTAAATGAATACTTATTTTAGCATTTTTCGAAATTCATCCTATAAGGGGGTAAAATACGGGATGAAAGTTTGTATGATAAGTACCTTTTTAGACATTTTCTTGTAGTTTTAGCGCGAGCGAAGCCGCGGGTTCTGCTAATATTATATAATATACATAGTATATTTCTATCAAATTTTGAAAGGGTCTATACTCTATAGGATCTTTTTTTTATACCACGTCGGTGGCAATCAGGCATGCGGCCCGCCTGATGGTAAGCGGTTACCGCAGGACGGCGGACGCCTGCAACACCAGAGGCATCACATGCGCGTTGCCGACCCTTTAAGAACCTATTTACTCCCCTTTTTAAGGACCCCATGCTGTAGCCCTCTGGGAAAACCTCGGCAGGGAGTTCATTCCACAACGAAATGGTCCGTGGGAGGAAATTCCTCTGAAACAGAACTGTACGGGACCATTTGGGCTGCAATGTGTCTTCTATTTAACCCTTGTAAAACGGTTCAGGGTTTGATGTAAGTATCGGAGAATCCGGGGAATAACTTTAGTATAAAAAGAGTTTTTAACTTATGTATAATAGCAAATATATGAAAGTACTTACCACTTTTTCCAAAGTCTTCAACACACGAGGAGACCAGCGAAGTTCAGTTTGATCAAATCCAGGATGGCAGTATCTGCCACCTCGAAGACCTTCGAGCCCACCTGTGTGACTTGCTGGTACAATAGCCACAGCTTCAAAGGCGAATTGTTCTGAAAATATGTACAGAATTTAATAAAATCATTATTTGACAAAGCATTTATTAGGTACTAACGACTCACGTTACGTTTTAATGTTTAGTATAAATTTCTCCGAGATGAAATATTTTCCCGGAGTAAAAAGTATTCTATATATTATGTTATGTCATCATTCAAAATTTCATCAAAATCTGTCCAATGGTTTTCTCTTAATACGTTCCCAGACAGACAAAAATTCTAAAAACTATAGATTCGGCCTCTGTATCGATATTTCAATAAGATTTCCCAAAAAATATTTAATGTACAGATTCGACTCAGAATTATATTATACACTAGCGGACCCGACAGACGTTGTCCTGTCTACACGTCTTTAATTGAAATTTTCAAATTTCAAACTTTTTTTAATAATTTTTTTGATGAAAATTATTATTCAAATTGTGAATCTAAACCATTCCCAGATCCCCTTGAATACACACAAAAAATTTCATCAAAATTGGTCCAGTCGTTTGAGAGAAGTTCAGTGACATACACACTCACAGAAGAATTATATATATAAAGATATGTATAGATGATAAACTTAAAAGTAGAGATGTACCGACTAGTCGGGCCATTACTTTATTTATATTACTAGTCTCATAATTGGCAATATAATCTAGAAATAGGAATGAAGGAAAGAATAGAACTTGACTTAGTATTTATATGACTAAGATTAACAAAAAAAAAATTGAACGCAAGTTTCTACAACTCGGACCAAAGAACATATATATATATAATCTGAATCTCGGAAACGGCTCCAACGATTTTCATGAAATTTGGTGTATATGGGGTTTCGGGGGCGATAAATCGATCTAGATTAGTCTTATGTCTGAGAAAACGCGTGTTTTCGAGTTTTCATGCAGTTTTCTTCTGCATTATTCCACGCAAAATATCGTCGGTAATTTGCACGCTCGAGCATAAGCATCGTGGTCAAGCGGCCAAAGTGTAAGATCAACAATCACAGGTGTCCAGGTTCGAATCTCGGTCACATGCTAAGATTTTACTTTTGTTTTTTTCTTAATATTTATTCAAGTTTTTTGTTAAAAAAAAAGAAAATTGTACTTTAGGCCAAAACTCCGAGCGAAGCTTGGTAGCCCAGGTACTATATAGTTATAAAAAAATTTTGATGCTTACCATTAGTTCTGGACACATCCCTGATGGAAGCTACCACGCGATTAATATTTGGCTGGTGCTGAGAGAGGAGTACCATTTCTTCTTCAGAAAACACACCAATATCAGCTTGTCCTCTAGCCAACTTGATTGCACAGTCGATTCTAGAATAGGGAAAAATAATAATAATCTATACTAATATTATAAAGAGCTAAAATTTGTGAGTTTGTGGCGTTGTATGGGGTAATCTCTGGATCTACTGAACCGATATAGATGAAATTTTGTAAGATGATAGTTTGAGACCTTGGGAAGGATATAGGATACTTTTTATCCCGAAAATCATCCCTTAAGGGATGAAAGTTTGTATGTATATTTTTTAAGTTTTTTTTATAATATGAAGTTTATCTAACGCTTACATTGTGGCATCTGGTTTAAACATTAGTTATTTTTATATAACTTGTTTGGGGTTTGATTTTCACTCATAACAATTTTTTTCAAAATTCTCTTTTAAATTAACATGTTCTCACTTCATTTAAGCTGATGTTTAAATATCAATTTTTAAAATGTAATTGTTAATGATAATATTATATACTTATTAAACATATATTGATTGCCAACCCGTACTTGGCCAGCGTGGTGGACTATAGCCTGATCCCCCTCGTATTGGAGGGAGGCCCACGCCCAGCAGTGGGGCGTTAAAAAAGGGCTGAATACACATACATATGTATCTTAATATATATAATTCTTCTGTACGTGTGTTTGTCACCTTACTCCTAAAGGGCTAGACCGATTATTTTTTGTGTATTTTTCAATAGGCTCCTGAATGGTTTGAAAACACAATTGGACCCGGTAGGTGGCGCTGCTGTCGGTATATCAAAGAGTTTCTTTTTTTAGTAGTTTGAACGCGGGCGGAGCCGCGTGTACTGCTAGTATTATAATATAATATCATAATAGCTTTTTTTGTAGACTAACAATTAAAAAAAACGTAATATCCGAAGGTGATTTTATTATCTATATATAAATAGCCAAAGACAAAACAGTTTAGTACTTTTTGTTCTTGTGTTTCAACCGATTGTCTTTTTTTTTAGTAGCTATTGTCCAGTTGAATTTGGAATCTAGTGACTTACCGTCTCTTCGCTCGGGTGCGTCCATTTTGTTCACAATTTCATGGGTTTTATTTTTTTTTGCACGGTACCTCGATTCTTTTTCTTAAATAAAAGTAGCCTAAGTTACTCCTTATAACATTAGATATTTGCCAGTGAAAGTTCCGTCAAAATCAGTCCAGCTGTTTCAGAGATAAGACGAAACAAACGGACAGGCGAACATTTTTAAATTGTGCTTCTCTCGTAAGTACCGTATATAATTTCATATGCATTCAGTAAAAAGCTGCTATTTCGACATTACAAACAGACACTTCAATTTTATTTATCTGTTTATAATATAATGATTACGGTCCAAATTCTAACAATAGACACAAGTTTTCTTAATGTACATATTTTGTTTAAGTATATTTTGTACTTACTTAGAATCAACGGATTCGCAGACAGCTTGGCTTCCATCTCTATCTAGACTCTGGCACAGAACGTTATTCGTAGAAGGAATGCAAACTTGAAAGTGAATGGAAATACAATTAAAAAAAATATTTTAATCTATACATATAATAAAATAATGAAAGTTGTAACTAAGCCGAATATATTTTTTGGAAAATCTTATTCAAATAGACATTATTATCGATACAGATCCAATATAGTTTTTAGAATTTTTTGTCTGTCTGTCTGTCGGTTATCGCATCACAGAAAAAGCACTTAGGGATTTTCATGAAATGCAAATTTGGTGAAATATGGTGGTTATATGTTGACCCGGGTAACAGCTATATAGGATAATTTTATCAAAATCGCATTTTTGAGAAAACAGACAGACAGACAAAAATTCTAAAACTGCAATGTAAGAGTATACTAATATGTAAAACCTAAGAATTTGGTTTTTGGTATATATATATATATATATATATATATATATATATATATATATATATATATATATATTACATCATGGCAATTAAATGTTGTATATTGAATCACCGACCCACCCTTTAACGACACTTATCAGGTATAGATAACAACATGACCGTTGCATGATAAACGTCGGATACCTTAGGTAGTTACAGTCCGTTATTTTGCAGGAAGTTATGATTGAATGCCATATCTATAAGTAAAAATGATGATTGGACGACACGTTTGACTCAGTTTCTAGTGACCCTACTTACTGTGCTACCGGTCGTGGGTTCGAGTCCCGGTGGAGGCATTCATTTGTGTGATGAGCATGAATGTTTGTACTCCAATCTTCGGTGTTTATATTTACAATATGTATGTATTTAAAGTTATATATGTGTAGTGTATCAACTATCTGGTATCCATAACACGAGCCTCGTAGCTTACCATGGAACTAGATGGTGCTGTGTGTTAATGTACCAACATATTTATTTGTTTGAACATAGGATATAGGAGTTAGAATTAATAGGGAAGCAGAGATTTGTTTCAATTGTCTGAATATATCCTTAGATAGGTACTATCAAAAACTCTGTAAGTTGTGTGATCGTGTATAGGTTATTTTATCGTTGGCTAAAGACGGGAAAGCAGAAGTTGTATAGAATATTGCTGAATTTCTTTCATATTTTTTTTCAATTTAATTTTTTTTTGTGGTCTTGACTGGCACCAAGTAAATCTAATTACTATATATACGAACCTAATACGAAAAGTTTATTTGTATGAATGCGATAATCTCTTGAAATGTACAGTTCAGAATTGCAAATTTTTTGAGTTTCATAACCCCCTATGTTCGTTCCTAGGATGCAATCTATGTCGTTGCCAAATTTTATCGAAATCTGTTCAGCTTTAAGCATGAAAAGGTAACAGACAGAGCTACTCATATTTATAGTATTAGTATGGATACATTGGGAATGGTCAGCAAGATTGTTGAATTGTTTGAATCGATAGCATATATTATATACTAGCACTGCCCGCGGCTCCGCCCGCGTTTGGATCACCAAAAAGCTAAGCTAGGTTTTACATATTAGTATAATCTTACATTGCAGTTTTTGTATTTTTTCTCAGAAAGATATTTTTCCGCGGTAAAAAGTATCCTATATGTTGACCCGGATAACCAGCTATCACCATACCAAGTTTTATCAAAATCCCTCCAGTGGTTTTTCCAGACAAAAATTCTAAAAACTATAGATTCGGCCTCTGTATCGCAAATAGAGTCTATTTCAATAAGATTTTCCAAAAAATATCTAATGTACAGATTCGGCTTTGTTACAATTTTATTATATGTATAGATTATCTAAATTCTAAGAAATGAAACCCGTGACAGTGACTAACTTGGCTTAATAATAATATGCCGAAGGCTAAGTTAGTAATATATAAAAAAGATATTTCGCAATAAGGTGGCGTCGGCGAGCTAGTATATAGATAAGATTTGTATTATCATTACACATACAGTAAAATATACAGTTTACATTTAGTTCGCAGCTCAATTCATACTATATAATAAATGCGAAAGTAACTCTGTTTGTCTGTCTGTTCACGCTTAATCCGCTGAACCGATTTAGATGAAATTTGGTATGGAGATAGTTTTTATCCCGGAAACGTCCTTGAGGGGGTGAAATGGGTGGAAGTTTGTATGTTCCTCATATAATTTCTTATAAAAAGTACTTATCTACTTTTCTATACCTATGCATGTACATATAATATAGTGTATTCTATACTAACCGTTAAAATGTACCTAGCGTAGTTGCTAGTTTATACATATACTAGCATTGCCCGCGGCTCCGCCCGCGTTCATATGACCAAAACCAAATTTTTAGGTTTTACATATTAGTATATTCGTATTAGTTAGTATATTAGTTGAGCCGGATAACCAGCTATTTACTGCATTGTAAGAGTATACTAATATGTAAAACCTAAGAATTTGGTTTTTGGTCATCTGAACGCGGGCGGAGCCGCCGGCAATGCTAGTGCTAAATAATTTATGGAAATGTTACATAACAAGGGAACTCTAATTCATCTATAAAATACCATGAATGCCCTTTTTGGACGCAATAATAATATTTAAAACCGATTTTAATGTTTTTGAATAATAGATATATATTATATTAATTAATATATGTTATTTTTAGCTGTTTTGAAACAAACGGTGAGTTCTTATACACCCATTTATTTATCTATAATTGCAATTTCCATAGATAATATCGATTGGACCATAGACTAAATGAACTTATAGAAGTACCAATGACAATTATTATATAACAATACTTACAATTATTATTCTGCGCGTGCGCATTCGCCACTAAGAAAGCGGCAAACAAAATTTCTTTATAACCCATAATTTTGTTCTATATTCACCAATATAACATTAAAATAATCACTAGAATGCCACTAAACAGCCACCACGCCCTGCAGTCACTACCTGAGTGCCTCGATATACAAGCCTCTTATCAATATGATTCCTTCGTTATCAATTTCCAAATTCAACTGATAAGAGATAAGGGCTGTCTAAGGGCGATAGTGATATGATTGTAGCGGTTTAAAGTTAATTTATGAATATTTTCGGTGGAAACTGAACACGACATTGCAATAATTCGTATTAAATAATATATAAATGTGAAAGTTTGTGAGTATGTATGAATGTTTGTAACTCTTTCACGCCAGAACGACTGAACGGATTTGAATGAAATTTGGCATAGAGATAGATTATAGTCTGGAATAATACATAGGTTACTTTTTTCCGGGAAAAATTTACGGTTCCCGTGGGATAGGTTTGTTTTAGATTTTCTAGAGGCGAACCCGAGCGAAACGAGGGTGAATCGCTAATAATCAGTAATTACGTCGGTCTCGGCAAAAATTAAATAATGTATGGTGTTTTTGATATGATGAAATATTATAACATACTCGTACTATACCTGACTTCGTTTAGATATAGAGTAACGTACGTACATACATACATACATACATACATACATATATACATACTAAATTACTTACTTACCATTGTTCAGACTAATATAAGACACTGCTAGCGCAGTGACAACGCACTTGCTTGGGAACCCGAATGAAGCGGATTCAAATCCCGTCTGTATATCTGATATTTTCATTTCCAACATGATTGCCACTTGTCTTACGGTGAAGGAGAACATCGTGAGGAAACCTGCATGTCTGATAGAACCTAGCAAGTTTTCGAAAGACATGCTCAGTCCGCCCGCACTTGGCCAGCGTGGTGGACTATGGCCTGATTGACCCCCCTTGTATTGAAGGGAAGCCCGCGCCCAGCAGTGGGATGTATGTATTATGTCTTTTAAAAACGCGTTTAGTTAGAACCTATCAAAATAAGATTATCAATCTTATTACGTATATTAAATTACAAGGCAATTGTAGCCCAATTGTAATGCGAATACTTGGAAAACCAAATGAAAGCGGGTTCAAACCCCGGTCTGATAATCTCATGCGTGAATCATTTTTAACATGATTACCATTTTCCTTACGGTGAAGGAAAATATTGTGAGGAAACTTTACACGTCTGAGAGATTCGAACTTCAATATGTACTTAGTTTTTAACCCTCGACGCAAAAAGAGGGGTGTTATAAGTTTGACGTCGATGTCTGTCTGTCTCTCTGTGTGTGTGTCTGTCTGTGGCATCGTAGCTCTCATGACAATGGATTACGATGCGGTTTTATTCATTTGAAAGCCAGTTTCATTGCGGTGGTTCTTAGCTATGTTTGATTAATATCGGTCCAGCAGTGTAAGAGTATCAGCTCTTTTCCAAAATTATGTAAGGCATTTTGGCGTATGATTACTCGATTAAGTGCTTCACGCGTGCCAGTGTAATCGTTAAATGACAATTAATTTGCGTTGGTTTTTTTTTAATTTTTAATTTATTTATAATCCTATTCGCGCCTACCTATCATGGTAGACTATGGCCTGATCTCTCCCGTATTGAAGGGAGGCCCACGCCCAGCAGTGGGACGTTAAAATAAGGCTTTTTTACATAAAACTATAGATATAATCCATGCAGGTACATATGTATGTACTTAGCTTAATTATTTTGCAAAATATTTCGAAAGCACAAGCAAAGTAACGGGTAAGTATAGATAAAAATTCCTGATAAATTCTCAGAACTGACGGTGTTATGATAACGAATCTTTCTAATAATATATTTAACTAAATACCCATCTTGGTTACGCCCTTGTGACGTATGTCACTTGTGCACGTTTCGAGTTTGTTTCTTTGATCTTGTGTCAGAAAGTACTGAGCTGATTTTTATACTGTTTTCGCCAATGAAAGAGAGATTTTCTAGGAAGGTTTTGCTTTAAAATTGTAAAAGCTTATGAAGATACGTTAGCGGTATATAACATCAAGAGATGCTCTCGATCAAAGGGACGATCTACTAACATGACTTTGGAAAAGCTAGGTTTTCTCAGACGTGCAAGTTTCCTCACGATGTTTTTCTTCACCAAAAGGCAAGTGATAATCATGTTAGAAATGATTCGCACATGAAAATATCAGAGACCCGGAATTCGAACCCGCTTCACTCGGTTTCCCAAGCGAGTGCGTTACCTCTGGGCTACCACTACCATCTGCCACTACTACTAGGTCACTACTCACTACTAACATAATAAATGTGTATCGAAAATCGTTATAACTTTCCTTTTATTAGTTAAAAAAAAACATGGTATGTTAACAGCCATATTAACAGCCAGCCAGCATAATAACGTCCCACTGCTGGGCGTGGGCCTACCTTCAATACGAGGGGGATCAGGCCATAGTCCACCACGCTGGCCAAGTGCGGGTTGGCGGACTTAACACGTTTTTTTTAAAATTGCTAGGTTCTTTCAGACATGCTGGTCAGTGGTTACCTCACAGTGTTTTTTTTTACCATAGATAAAAAAAAACATTACGTGCGTCATAAATTCCAATGTTATTCTTGGAAGATAATCTTTTCATGTTAGATGATCAATAATTCAATGATAAATATATTGAATCACTTCCTATGGAAAGCGGATATAGATAATATAAATTTTCACAACACGAATGTACTGTATTTAAGTTTTATTTCAATCATTCCAGAAGGTTTTATGAATGGACCTTGACACCTTGTATTAAATAAATATAAATAAATATGTTGGGACACAGCACCATCTAGTTCCATGGTAAGCTACGAGGCTTGTGTTATCTATACCAGATAGTTGATACACTACACATATATAACTTTAAATACATACATATTATAAATATAAATACCATGACTGGAGTACAAACATTCGTGCTCATCACAAAAATGAATGCCCCCAACGGGACTCGAATCTGCGACCGCTGGCATAGCATGTAGGGTCACTACAAACTGAGTCAAACGTTCTCAATTTATTAACTTTTGAGTTACGCATAGAAAAATAATATTGCATAATTAATTAATATTTTTATTCTTTTAATAAAAATGGCGAGAATAGACTATATTATTTTGTTCCTTTCATTTCCATTTTTTTTTACTTGTCACCATCGAGCCCTAAAACTATATTAGTAAACTAGACTAACCCGAGCGAAGCGAGCACAAAAGCACACACAGATCTATCCCACGGAAACCGTTCATTTTCCGGGATGAAAAGTATCTAAAATGTTGACCGGGGATAGAAGGTACCACCATGCAAAATTTCATTTAAATCGGTTCAACAGTTTCGGAGATTAGCCCCTACAAACCGACAGACAGAGAAACAAAAAAATTAAAAAAAATCTGGATTTGTTCTATTTCTCTTTTTACATCCCCCTAACTCGGTTTTTAGCGTTTTTTTTCTATGTACAGATATTCGACCTCTACAGTTGTAATTATATGTATAGATATAATAAAAGATTCTCGTTTTATTATATTTATAAAATTCATAATTATACATTTTTATTTTTATTATGACGCCTGATAAAATGCAATAGCAATAGCGCAAATCCTCAACTTGTCTAATGTAATTAAGTTATTCTTTATGTAGACAGTGTTTTTTTGCTCTCGAGATTAGTCCAGTAAAACGGTTGATATCTAAACTAATATCATAAATGCTTATAATTCTGTATGTTTGTTACTCTTTCACGCTAAAACTGCTGAAAAGATTTCGTTGAAATTATAACTAGCGGGTCACCTTCGTTTCGCTCGATTTCGCCTCTAGAAAAACAAAAACAAATCTATCCCTCGGGAACCGTATATTTTTCCGGGTTAAAAAGTCTAAATGTTATTCCAGACTATAATCTATCTCTGTGCCAAATTTCATCCAGATCCGTCCAGCTGTTCTGGCGTGGTAAAGAAAACCATGTGTGGGAAGTGCAAGGAAGGTTGCAAGTTTTCGAAAGACGTGAAGTCCGCCGCACACTTGGCCAGCGTGGTGGACTATGGCCTAATCCCCCTCGTACTGAAGGGAGGCCCACGTCCAGCAGTGGGACGGTCAAAAGAGCTAAATATAATAATAAATTTATCTATATATGTAATAAACATCGATTTTTACTGTTGTTCGCTAATACAAAGCACATTCGTGGTTTCGTGTCAAAATAATTTTAATGATCTTAATGCATTTTCCTTGTTTATATTTCATAATATAATGTTTTTAGTTAAAAACAATTATTCAAGTGCAAATTGCAATCGCAGCACGGTTCTATTTATCAAATACTAAGGACTCATCATCACTTCGCTTCAGGTACATCCCTAGACAAAAACAAATGTATCCCACGGGAACCGTACATTTATTCGGGATGATATATATATAGATATAGCCCACAAATATTTTTTTGGTTGTATTATAACTTATTTTCCCGTGGGAATGAGATAATCTCCCGCGGTAAAGAGTAGTCTATGTCATTCTCCAGCCATCCAACTATCTCCACACATAAAATCACGTCAATCGGTCAATCCGCTACGACGTGAAATAAGGGCAAACAAACAAACAAACAAACAAACACACTTTCATATTTATAATATTAGTATGGGTGTATATATAGATACGGTTATTTCAACCAACAGTATCACTACTGTCAAAGATTTTGCTCATTAATTTTATTTCCAACCGAACTCATTTTTTTGTTATTAGATACGTAAAATTGTTAGTTTTTGTCAAAAATGTATCCACAGTCAAAAAGAGAGGTTAGAAATTGCAAAATTATCAAAACCGTGTTTGCTTGCTGTAAGGAGTTTTTTATGCAGACTAGCATTCATGGTCTTAACCACATCGCTGCTCCCAGAAGACATTGGGCTGAGAGGTATGTGTATATGTGTATTTTCATTTAGCTCATTACTCCTGTGCCTGTGAAGGCAGTGGTAGCCCAGTGGTAACGCGCTCGCTTGGGACACCGAGTGAAGCGGGTTCAAATCCCGGTTCTCGCACCTCTGATATTATCATGTGCAAATCATTTCTAACATGATTACCGCTTGCCTATCTGAGAGATATATAGAGAGGTATATCTGAGAGAACCTAGCAAGTTTTCGAAAGATATGTGAAGTCCGCCAATCCGCACTTGGAAAGCGTGGTGGACTATGGCCTGATCCCCCTCGTATTGAAGGGAGGCCCACGCCCAGCAGTGGGACATTACAAAGGGCTGAATATATTACTCCTAAACTTAACCTACGTGAAAGTAGGACGTAGGATATATAAAATACTCTTTATCCTTGGATATTGGGAATTTTATGAGATTTTAGCACCTTAAAAACGTTTTATTTGTGGTTTTGTGTGTGGTTCGTTATGGTAAGTAGGACAGCGATTAAAGGTAGATTATGTCCATTCTTATAATATGTATGTATTTAAAGTTCAACTGCCTCGGTGGTGTAGTAGCTAGCATGTACCGCTGCACACCCGGAGGTCCTGGGTTCGAGTTCCGGGTCGGGCCAAGTTTAGTTATGGAGTCTTTTTGTATAGTATGTCCTCAGTAACAGCCCGGAGTTGGGAAGTTGGCAGTGTTTCACCCCCGTGCCTCGGAGAGCACGTAAAGCCGTCGGTCCTGCGACTTAACTCTCACTGGTCGTGTCGAGTGATCGTCCCATTGGAGTATGAGATTAATAGGAATAGAGAGTGCACGTTGTGTCTGCGCGTACACTTGTGCACTATAATATCTCCCGCGCAGTTGGCTAATCTCAATGAGATTGGCCGCCGTAGCCGGAATCGGCTAGGAGAACATCATCATTTAAAGTTATATATGTGTAGTGTATCATCTATCTGGTATCCATAGCGCGAGCCTCGTAGCTTACCATGGAACTAGATGGCGCTGTGTTAATGTCCCAACATATTTATTTAATATTAATATTTAATTGATGTGTTTGCTATATTTTATCGAAATTTGTTCAGCATTTTAAGCAGGAAAAGGTAAGACAAAGTTACTTTCACATTTATAATATTAGCATTAGCATAACAGTTGGCTAATATAATATTAGGAGTTTTTTCAGAATCGTATGGGTATTCATCACAGCCATGGCCGTATGGGGAGTCGTGGACATCTCTCTGGGGCAGTGGCAACGTTACAATGATAATCCAACAGTGGTGACTCTTGAAAAGGATTTCAGGACTTGGAGATTTAATATACCAGCTTTAACTGCTTGCGAACAGGTGTTTGAATATGTTTTAAGATCTTTAACTTTATATATATATACTAGCAAAACCCGCGGCTTCACTCGCGCTAAAACTACAATTTTTTTTAAAAAGGTATTTTCATACAAACTTTCATCCCCTATTTCACCCTTTTATAGGATGTATTTCGAAAAATGTATAACACGTATTTATTTAATTTTATTGAAGATTATTAATATCAAGTTTCAAAGTAATTCTTATCATAAATATTTTTTTGGATTGTATTATGACGTGTTTTCCCGTGGGAATTAGATAATCTCACGCGGTAAAAAGTAGCCTATGTCACTCTCCAGCCCTCCATATATCTCTACGGAAAAAAATCACGCCAATCCGTCGCTCCGTTTCGACGTGAAAGAAAGACAAACAAACAAACACACTTTCACATTTATATTATTATATTATTTAAAATCTCTTCCACTATATAATTTGTAATTATTTAATAAATTTTATCAAATTTCAAAATTAAATAATAGGATTTTTGCCACAATTACACACATAGCTTGTACAATGTACAGTAATAAATAGGTGTACAATATACATACATTTGTTTCATATCTATACCTACTAATATTATAAGTCCGAAAGTTTGTGAGGCTGTCTGGATGTATATTTGTATGGACATTTGTTAGACTTTCAACTACTTAATGGATTTTAATGAAATAGCTCATATATCAGAATAACACATAGGCTGCTTTTTATCCCGGAAAAATGTAGGGTTCCCGTTGGATAGATTTGTTTTTGTTTCTTTAGCGGCGAACCCGAGCAAAGGATAAAGTAGTATATAATAAGTACATATATTTGTAATTTCAATATGTTTCCTCTATTGTCAATTTTTTTTTAAATTAAAATCATGCCAATATAATTAAGTTAGTTATGTCTCATAGTCTGAACGAGCAAAATTTTTTCACTAAAACTTAATAAAATTACCATAATTTGAAGTATAACGAAGGAACTTACCTTTTAACCAATTTTTAGGATAGAGTCAGTATGGAGAAAGTGCCCAATGCAATAAAATCTCGATGGAATATTGGAGAAGAAGATCAAAAATATGAATATTATCACAGATTTATAAAAACTGTTGCGAATTCAGATTTATTTCATTTGAACGGATATGCAGAGTTCAAAGATGATGCTACTCTAAATGTTAATTTGTACGAATTGGCTGTTGAGGTATGTTTACTATATTTAGTGTTTGAACAGTGATTTAAATTTGACCATAATAATCAATATATATTTATACTAATACTAGCAGAACCCGCGGCTTCGCTCGCGCTAAAACTATAAAATAAACTCTAAAAATGGCAGATTTCATATAAACTCTCCCTTATTTTACCCCCTTATTGGGTGAATTTCGAAAAATTCTAAAACACGTGTTTATTTAATTGTATTAAAGAGCATTCATACCAAGTTTCACTTAATTCTGAGCATAAATATATTTTTTTGTTGTATTATAACGTGTTTTCCCGTGGGAATTAGATAATATCCCGCGGTAAAAAGTAGCCTATGTCACACTCCAGTCCTCCAACTATCTCTATGCAAAAAATCACGCTAATCAGCTCCATTTTTCTTCTATAATAGAGTGGAGCGAAAAAAAAAAAATTGTCAGCTTTGGGGGTAGAATTTGTAGCTTATAAAATTCTAAATTTTTGAAAACAAAAAAAAACCTTTTGAGGTGGCCCACCGATTTTTAATATAAATTTTTGATGTGAATGAAATTTTTTTTTCGAGTTATCATCTTTGAAAACATTCAAGAATTGACGAATAAAGTCATTTTCTAATCAAATTTCACTGTAATACTATAAAAGTAACTAGTTATTTTTTGAACTTTTATATAAATTGCAATAATACAATATTACAGTAAAAGTAGGGTAGAAAATGACCAATTCTACCTCCAAGCTAAAAAAAAATTTGTTTTCGCTCCATCCTATTTTATAAGCCTACAGGTAGGTCGGTAGGTCTCATTGACATATAAAGAAAGTCTGGGAAGTTTCTCATTTTACTGAATTCTCATAAAAAAAGTCCAAAATACCACGACAGAACATAAAAATCTCCTATCCACAGTTTTATCTATAATTTTCCAAAAACCAGGTGTTGCCAGAACATCGCATCAAAATGGGTTCATCAGAAACTTTACTACAGAAATGGATACCAATTATGACGGAAGCAGGCGCATGTTATACTATTAACTCTATCGCTGTAGCAGATGTCGCTTTAGTGTGAGGATTTCATATACATATTTTTCTTTATATGTTAGATTTCTTCTCGTGTGCTGGTCGAGAAATTTCAAGTTTCTTATTTAGAAAACTTTTTTTTAATATACCTATTTATATTTTATTTATTGGCCAACGAATTACCGTCACTTTGCTCGAACGCGTCTCTAGGTACGTTTTAAATAGAGATAAAATAAGTTACTAGGTTAAAATGGGTTCAGTACAGAAACGCACACAGATATACAGACATACAGACAAAAATTCAATAGCTATTGTTCTTTATTCTGCACATAATACGTTACAGTCATTGTTTTTTTTTTAATATTTTATGTCCAGATGTCTCTTTGTTACGATTTTATTAATTGTATAGATTTTCTCTAATATACGCATATATATATATATATATATATATATATATATATATATATATATATATATATATATATATATATATATATAAAATCGGGTTAGTTACACCATTTATAAATCGAGAACGGCTGGACCGATTTTTATGATCTTTGAATTGTTGTATTTGTCCCCGCCCCTAATAGCAGAATAACAGCTGTTAATACTCGAACATCGAAAAAAATCACGCAAAAAAATTTATTAAATTTTACGTGTCTAACGCTAATAACTATATATATTTATATATCTTTTTAAAATTTACCTATGGACGAACTCTTCAACGACACGTTTGGCTCAGTTTGTAGTGGCCCTAGTTGTAATTGCTGTGCCAGCGGTCGCGGGTTCAAGTTCCGCTGGGGGCATTCATTTGTGTGATAAGCACGAATGTTTGTACTCCATTCATGTGTTCATATTTATAATATGCATGTATTTAAAGTTATATATGTGTAGTGTATCAACTATCCGGTATCCATAACACAAGCCTCGTAGCTTACAATGGAACCAGATGGTGCTGTGTGTTAGTGTCCCAACATAAAAAAATATATATTTCTTCTTTAATTACCATGTTAACAGAAAACCTGACAAAAATAATACACTCCAAGCCCCTACCACGTGCAAGTATTCTTCACAAAGCTGTTACATCATGGTCGAGAGCGCTGCAAAAATCGATGTAAGTTAAAAGCCGTTTGTATTAATCATAGAATTTAATTTAGATTATTCTATGTCTTTCACGGCTTTCTTTCTTAGCACTTTCTTATATTTATTTGAATACTAGATACGATTTAGCCGTTAGTATGGAATAGATAGACTATATATATATATATAGCTTTAAGTACAATTCTTTGCCAAATAATGTAAAGGAGTCAAAAACTTTAAATATGTTCAAAAAAATCTTAAAACATTATATTATTATGTCATGCAAGAATCCAGATTATCTATACATATAATAAAATTGTAACTGAGTCGAATCTGTACATTAAATAATTTTTAGAAAATCTTATTGAAATAGTCCTTATTATCGATACAGAGGCCGAATCTATAGTTTTTAGAATTTTTGTCTGTCTGTCTGTTACCGCATCACGGAAAAACCACTGGAGGGATTTTAATAAAATTTGGTATGATGATAGCTGGTTATCCGGGTCAACATATAGGATACTTTTTACCGCGGGAAAATGTCTTATTTCTGGGAAAAAAACACAAAAACTGCAACGTGAGAGTATACTAATATGTAAAACCTAAGAATGTGGTTTTTGGTCATCTGACAAAAATTCAAAAAATTATAGATTCGGCTTCTGTAGATAATAATGTTTATTTCAATAAGATTTTCCAAAAAAATATTTAATGCACAGATTCGGCTTAGTTACAATTTTACTATATGTATGGATTATTATTAATTAGATACCTAACCTTATCTTGTCTAGAAAATAAATGCGCATGCGCATAAATAAATTAACATCTCATATTCCAGTATTACATCCACTCCCCATACGATGTGGCTAATGTTATGGTAACTCCAAGTACTGTCTATCCATCGCTCAACCGCTATACTGAGTTGAGTTCTATGGAAACGAGAACCGGACTTGGTGTTAGAGAGCTACCTCCAAAAACTAGACACTGCCTATATACAGATGAGCCTGTGAAACCTTCTAGAAAAGTGAGTATTTATTTTATACTACTTGTCCGGGTCAACATATAGGATACTTTTTACTGCGGGAAAATATCTCATCTCTGAGAAATCTATACTAAACGTTAAAATTTTATAAAAATAAAAATTCAAAAGTAGTCATTGACACGTTTGGCTCAGTTGGTAGTGACCCTACTTGCTGTGCCAGCGGTCGCGGGTTCGAGTCCCGCTGGGGGCATTCATTGGTGTGATGAGCATGAATGTTTGTACTCCAGTCATGGATGTTAATATTTATAATATGTATTTATTTAAAGTTATATATTTGTAGTGTATCAACTATCTGGTATCCATAACACAAGCCTCGTAGCTTACCATGGAACTAGATGGTGCTGTGTGTTAATGTCCCAATATTTATTTATTATTTATTAATCATTTTGCTGTACAGGTGTACAGCACGCATACCTGTCGTCAAGATTGTAGAAGTCGGTTGGCGCAGAAGCTGTGTGGGTGCAAGCCTTTCTATTATTTCTATGATGGTGAATATTAGACATTTTGTTTTTTATGTATATTTACGCGCCTGCGGATGTAGATGTCTGTACATTATGTAATACAAAGGCTTTTATTTAAATTAAATATAAAATGAACGACTTTCGACAAGAATTATCAAAAAATTGACATTTTTGTTCACCTAATTTATATATGAAACACTTTTGCAGTCAGTGCCTTTAGATATTTATATAGAAGTATGTTCATATCTATGTCTTCGCGCACATTTGTCTTATAATAGCTCCTAAGCAGAAGGCATTATATTAAGCTATTGCATAGCTTCTATCGCGGGCCTTGAGCGTGGGGACCGAATCCAGAAATTCCGTAACGAAAAAAAAAAACCTGACACCCCCCACTCCGACCGGCACAGCGGTGATACATTTTAGTTTTTCCATCTATCGATAAATACCAGAACTTTTAATGACTTTTTGAAATATCACGCTTGTCTCTTTAGTTCAGCAACCCGCCTTTAGGTGGCATTGGTTGTATTGGAAAACTACCGTAATCAGCTGTTTGTGAGAAAGTATATAGGTGTATAGGTATTTATCATCTATGTACAACAGTGAATATCTGTACTCGTATAATTTGTGTACAAAGTGTTTTAAATATGAATAAACAAAGTGCATTTATTAATGAAAAAAGTCAAGGAAAAAAAAATACTGCATTAATAAAATAAATAAATAATTATAATTGCATAAGTTGATAAAAAATGCTATGCAATAGCTTTACCGCGGCAGTCTCCGAGTGCCACATTTAATTTTATATTTCAGATGGTCCATCCTGCACTCCATCTGGTATGTGGTGCTTGGCTGCGTATTCCCAGACCCTCGCTAACTTCGGCGGTATCAAATGCGCTTGCAGCCAGCAATGTTTGGGCTCTGTCTTCAGAGAGATCTCTAAAGAAGATCAGATATGGTATATCATTATTTTTAATTAAAATTTTGCATTTCTGCTTAGAAATTTGTACAGATAAATAAAATTGAAGTGTCTGTTTTGTAATGTCAAAATAGTAGCTTTTTACTAAATATATATGAAATTATATAGATACATTACTCATAAGAAAAACATAATTTTTAAATTTTTGTCTGTCTGTTTGTTCCGGCTAATCTCCGAAATGGCTGGACAGATTTTGATGGGACTTTTACTAGTAGATAGCTGATTTTATTAGGAGTAATTTAGGCTACTTTTATTTTAGAAAAAGAATTAGAGCTCCGCTTAAAAAAATTCAAACGTACTTAGGGACGAACCCGAGCGAAGCGAGGTTGAGTCGCTAGTGTATTAATATAATGTCTCATGTGAGCATTTGAGCGCGCTTTGAATTAATTTATTTTTTTGCGAAAACAACTTTAAGCATTGCGTTTAAGATTCAATTTACATTTTTGTATATTTATTTCAGCTAGAATTATCTAAACACGTTTTATTGAACAGAACTTTTGCATGGAATTGTATATCTGGTAATTTTTTGATCGATGTTTATATACAAAATAATTTAGGGATCGAGGGCCATTTCAAGCCCGCGGAGCAGTGCGCTTCACAGTCCAAGCTCCACGGACTAGATACACCAGACACATCGTCTTCCATCTCCAAGACCTTGTTGGTGAGTAGCATATAACAGGGATGCACCAGAGCGCAACAAAAGCCAAAAAGATATTTTTAATTTAATTATCATCTAAAATTATAATTTTTCCCCCCAAAAATAAAGATTAATAGGTACATCATATTATTATTTATTTATTTACTTTATCTATACAAATAATAAAATTCTGAGTCGAATCTGTACATTAAATATTTTTTGAGAGACCGAACCTATAGTTTTTAGAATTTTGTCTGTCTGTGACCGCATCACGAGAAAACCACTTGACAGATTTTGATGAAATTTAGTGTGATGATAGCTGGTTATCCGGGCCAACATATAGGATACTTTTTACCGCGGGAAAATATCTCATTTCTGAGAAATCTACACTAAACGTTAAAACGTAACGTATTTACGTAATGTTATTATAATTTTAGTGTCATTTGGTGGAGCGGCTGGACTTTTCTTAGGCGCTAGCTTCATCAGCTTCGTTGAAATCGGCTACTTCTTGCTGGAAAAACTTTTTCGTGGTCCTCCAACAAACACAAAAATGGTAAATAATTGGCATTTTATTCAAACAATCTAGCTATACTTAATATTACAAAGAGTTAAATTTTGTAAGTTTGTGAGATTGTGTGTTTGTGACGTTGTAGGGGGTAATCTCTGGATCGACTAAACCGGTTTAGAAGAAATTTCGTAAGATGATAGTTTAAGATCCTGTGAAGAACATAGGATACTTTTTATCCCGGAAATCACCCCTTAAGGGGGTGAAAATGGGGATGAAAGTTTGTATTGGGAAGCAAGCTAGGGACGAACCCGAGCGAAGCGAGAGTGAGTCACTAGTTTATGATACTCTCTCAGATTTACGCAAATTCTAAATAAAACTATCTTTGCGGATGTTTTCGGGGATTTATTTTGATTTTTGGTTCCAGATGTTATATTAACTAAAAAGAAAAAAACAGGTGTCTATGTCATGCTTGTATTAATGTGGTAATTATGGTAATATCATTTTTTACTCGACTGCGACGAAGCGTAATAGTTATGTGTTTGTTTTGAATGTATGTTTGTATGTTTGCAAATATGTTTTTATTTTTTATTTTATAATACTTCATTTATATTTCCTATTCTAAGCAGCCTTCACGAGTTAATGAACGTAATAAATAAACATTTTATTTCATATGCTTACAATTTTTACTACAATTATACAAATATAATAATATTTTTTCAACAGGTACAGAAGCCTACAATCCCATATGACGAAACGGTCAAAGAAATTACATGTATTCTAGAAGAAAATTTCAATAAACGATAAATTTTAAGCCCTATAACTTTGTCCTTATGGGATATTCTTGGCTGTACTAATTTAGGTAGAACCTTTTTGAATATATGTATTGAGGAGATAGTTTTTTTTTGTGTATATAATAACATGTGTACATAATAACAGTGGAAGTCAAACTGTTAGTAAGGCATTATAATAAAAAGAAAAGTTGTGGGCACTGCGAAGTTAATTTAATTAATTTTAAGTCAAATTTTAATATTGATTTTGATAATTATTTTTTTTAATTCAAATGACACCTTTTTGTTTTATTAACCAACGTCCACGAAGGAGAAGGTTCTCAATTCGTCGGAATCTTTGTTTTTTTTATGTAGGTATGTTCACGGATTACTTAAAGACGCTTGAGCCGATTTGGAAAATTCTTTTTTTGTTTATATGGTATACTTACCAGGTGGACCCATTTAAATTTTATCGAAATAAATAAATTGCTTAATAGAATATGTTATTAAAAACTTCTTAAAAATTACCTGCTTATTACGTCTACACTAAAAATGGAAAAATAATTAAAAAAAATACCGACTTCCAAGTTCCAGGCACTAAAATGTAAAAAATAACTAAATGGGGTTTTCATTTAGAATAAATAACTAATCAGATATTTTCGAAGTTGGTGCCAGCTGATCTAATAACAAATTGATATATGTATAATATTTTAAATATAATTATTATATTTCACACCAAATCATATTCTATAGACTATACATATAATAAAATTGTAACGAAGCCGAATCTGTACATCAAATATTTTTTTGGAAAATCTTATTGAAATAATCATTATTATCGATACAGAGGCCGAATCTATAGTTTTTAAATTTTTGTCTGTCTGTCTGTTACCGCATCATAGAAAAACAACTAGAGGGATTTTGATGAAATTTGGTATAGTGGAAAGTATCTCATTTCTGTAAAACCTAAGAATTTGGTTTTTGGTCATCTGAACGCGGGCGGAGCCGCTGGCAATGCTAGTTACAGGTATTCGTATAGCAACGCATACTTACGTTTTTAACGACAGCTTATTCGCCAGTGAGGTCAACTGTTGGCACCAGAAACGATAGCTCGCCCTCAGTGCCGGATTTAACCTTAGCGCCACCCCTGGGCACTGTAACAATGCCGTCCTATTATCGACATTTTGAATAAAATGTTGAAAGACCAAAAAATTTTTTTTTTGAAAAATGCAAAAAAGTAATTTATAAATGATATCAATTTTTCGAAAATTTAATTATTAGTTAATATTTTTAAATAAATAAAGCATTTTCGATAACGCGATGAAATTTTTTTCCCGCCCTCCGAATTTTGCCGCCCCTAAAAATTTGCCGCCCTGGGCACTAGCCCCGGGTGCCCTTAGTCTAAATCCAGCGCTGCCCGCCCTTATTGTCATGGTTGATCTAATAGATGCACAACTGCAGTATCACTAACAATGTATGTTGAAGCGAAAATATTGTATTAACAGCCTTCTTGAGCTTTTTAAAGCCTCAAAAACCATTGATTAACTATCACAAAGGTACTACTTAGTATAGGGGCTATATCATATAGATACTTTATCATATATACTGCTAGGGATTGAAAGTTCATTTCAAAAAAATCCGTACTAATATTATAAATGTGAAAGTGTGTTTGTTTGTTTGTTCTTCTTTCACGTCGAAACAGAGTTACGGATTCGAGTGATTTATGTATAGAGATAATTGGAGGGCAGGAGAGTGACATAGGCAAATTTTTATCGTGAGAGATTATCTAATTCCCACGGGAAAACACATTAAAATAAAATCCAAAAAAATATTTATGATAAGAATTATTTGAAACTTGGATTTAATGCTCTTCAATAAAATAAGGTGATGTAGCATTTTTCGAAATTCATCCTCTATGGTGTTAAAGTAAAAGTGGTAGGTTTATATATGTAGCAATATACTCTATGGTGGTAGGGCATGCAAGTTTGTATGAAAATTGAAACCTACTTTTTCATAGTTTTAGCACAAGCGAGGCCGCGGGTTCTGCTACTATATATATATTTGTAATAAATTAAATAATAGAATGTTATCGTAACCATAAAAAAGTTATGTATATATAAAAAATAATAATATTAAATAAATACTTTACAATTAACTTCTCTGCTCTGTGGCTGTATTTAATTATATCTACTGTCATTTTGACACTGACGTATCTTAGTACAAAATTTGTAAATTGTAGATTGTTGATTGCATCGTTTATTTATTATAGTTTATAGCTACATATATAAATTTATTATTCATCTTTTCTCTAACGGTAAAGTATCATATATTATGGAGTGTCTACATTTGTTTCTTTTATCTTCAAACAAAGGTAAATCCACTGTATATAATTATTGCGAGATATAAGTCAAAAATGGATTCTGAACATGATTCACTTTTTCATATTAAAACAAAATCTTAATTACTGAAAATAAATAATCAAATACGACAATCAAAACATAAGTAATTAGTCCTATAAATTTAAAAAATGCCTTTTTTACTCAGGATTTAAGTACCTAATTAATACGTTCATGCTAACGTAGCTCTATGCTATATTGTATTCACCCTTTTGAAACGTCCCACTGCTGGGCGTGGGCCTCCCTTCAATACGAGGGGGATCAGGCCATAGGCCACCACGCTGGCCAATTGGCCATTGGCTGGATACTACACATCATTTTTTTCATACAAACTGGAGCAGTCCCTAATCACTAATGACTTTGTGCATGTATAGGTTATCGAGCCGTTATTTTGAAACCGTTATTAAACAATAAAAATTAAATTTTATACAAGAATTTATTTAAGATTTTTGCATTATTATTTACCTCTATGATATGATGAACTTGTTGGAGATGTTTCCGATATTATTTGTTAAATTATTGCTTTCTTTTTAAGGTGTGTAGTCATATAATTCAATATTTTCTATAATTATTTTTATATTTATAATATGTATGTATTTAAAGTTATATACATATATGTGTAGTGTTTAAACTATCTGGTATCCTTAACACAAGCCTCGTAGCTTACCATGGAACTAGATGGTGCTGTGTGTAATGTCCCAACATATTTATTATATAATATTTTTAATTATTATAGTAACACTTTTGCACAATTTTTTTTTTTCAATTATGATTTAGGTAGGTAATTATGTACAGTTGGTATAAAAACAATGTTAATAAATGAAAAATCTTTGTCTAGCTAATATTTAGACTTTTAAAATATATTTTTAAGGTATTTTATGCACAGGTCAATTAAAACATAATAATTCAAATTAATATTTATTTAAAAAAAACTTAAAATATAACTCATAAGACATTTAAATTAATAATCTCAAATAAATCAATCAACTTACAATCAGCATCTTGAACTAGTAATTAAATAATAATAATTGTTATTATAGTCCAAAGTTCAAAAGTTACACTAGTACAATATGTTATTATAATAAGAAACCGCATAGTGCTGTGGTATTATGTTATTTTGACTCAAACTCTTAAGTCTTTGGTTTTTCATTCTGATAATTTTAGTCTAGACTGGTACGGTAGTTTCCATCCATCTAGTAATATATATCTTTTTCTCAAAATAGATTGGGCAATGTGGATAGCTAATCTATTTTGTAATTTGTCTTTGATAATAGCTACTTGAGAGAATGCTCTTTGAACAACTGCATTAGAAAATGATAACGACTAAATAGTTAATGTCAATTTGCCAACATGGCCATAAGTTCTGTAACCAATTGCATTTTTGAAATTATGAACTTCAATCCAGAACTCTTCAGTGTGTTGCGTGGTTTTCCTTGTTGTACGATGCAAAACATTTCATTCTTGTACCACTGAGTCGACATCATTGCAGATTGGTCTTATAAATATAGCTGAATTTGTTATATTATAATTACATTTGGTTTAAGCGACATTTACTTAACTTTAGAGGAGAGCCAAATTAATGATTTCTTTTTGGAAAAAAAATCATAACGCTTCCTGGCAAAAAAAGTGTCATAAAACAAAAACAGCTGTATCGAGAAAAGGCTACTTTTATGATTTTTCATTATTTTCTATGTTGATTATTTAAAAATTATAAGAGTTACATTGTTGGTTTTTTTTATAAGTAGCTTATTTATGTGTTTTTCATATGGCTTAATGTTTTTCACAAAATATATATATATATATATAGATTTTTTTTTACTTTTAAGAAACTCAAAATTAGGTACATATTATGTCTCTTTTTTTGAAATAAAGGTCTATTACTTGGACAATAAAACACTTATTAAAAGAATCATCATCATATTTTTTTATAAAAAAAGCTTTAAACTTACATTTACAAGAAAAAATAACAAAAAAATAAATTTCCTTTAATTATTATTTTTTTTTGCCTGAACTCTCAAGTAGTTTATTTGGCAGTTAATAATATAAAAACTAAATCTTAAAACTAAAACAGGAACTTCTTGCATTGTAATTTTTAAGTAAACATATTTATGTAGGTTTTATACCCCAAAGGTCTGTCTGAGTTACTATAACATTATACTAATCACTTGATAAAAGAAAGTAGGTCGATAAAATCGGACAGTGCCTATAAAAATTCGGATATGTCGAATAGATTCCGCAACTTTACTGTGATTACTGTGCCTACTGCCTACCTCTCATGTCTTGTTTTAAAAAACCATCTTCAGATTTTTCAATCACAGTTCTGATAATACGATCATTAATATCTTATATTGCTCTGAAGAAAGTTTTGCATACTCGAGTAGTTCTCCATCAACTTAAAAATAAAAACGATGGTTGACATTTCTATGCTAAGCTTTACCAGTAAATCTAAACGCAGGAATGATCGGTTTCATGTGCTTATAAATAAAATTTCGTTGTACGAGTAATGCTAGGTCCTCTAATTGCCAATAATTCTCAAATATTTTAGTTCTGTTAGCATCATTTATTTTCTGAGTACACTGCAATTTGCATTTATCACCTCACGGAGGTTTTAAGCTCCATTTAGGAACAATTTTTCTTGATTTAGAACGAGAAGTGTAGGACTCTCCGGTATTTATTAGTGTTTTTGCCTTATTCGACAACCATTCGTTAACACAACATTTACGGTTTTTGCAAGATTTACGGACTGGACTCTTCGATAACTGAGGAACTTCATTTTCAACTACGTTATTTTCTTGTTTACATGGCGGAGATGCAGGTACTATTTCATTAGAACTGCAGCGATTTTTAGATAAACTTGACTTAGAACTAACTGTGCTGTTGCTACTGCTGCTGCTACTATTCGACGAGGAAGTCGACGAAGACGAATCGGAGGATGTGGACAGGTTATGCTGCGGAATATTTTTAGATATAGGAAAGGTCGATGTGGTGCAAACCGATTGGCCAGGAGTATCTGTATTTACGTAAGGTTGTGTTTGTTGCTTCTGTTTTAATAATAATTGAGAAACCCGTCTAACACGCTTTCTTGAAGTCGGACGATCAGCGCTGCTATCTGAGTTAGAACTTTCATTCCCATATCCAGTTTCGAAATTAGGATCTTTAACGCTGTCATCACTGTCTTCAAAATAATAATTTTCTTTATCTGACATTTTACTCTCATCTAAAAATTAAAAAAGTAAAATAAGAATACAGCAATATACACTAAACTACAGGTATAGTCGGCCTCAGAAGTAGTTGAACTAAACTAAAAACTTTAGTACCTTGTTACATCAAATTATTGCTTTTATTTAGTATGGTTCGACTTAATGAACTTGCGCAATAATACAATCATCTCACTGCATCACACTAAGTGTGACATAGTACTAAAGTGTTCAGCTACTTCTGAGGTCGACTGTATCTACAAGGCATATTAATTCAAGGAAGGAATGAAGTACAACAAGAACCGAACAGAAAAATTACATTTATTTGGGGAGAACACACTAACCTTGCTTTAAATCGTCTATTTCTATAGTTTTAATTTGAACAGTATTCTCATCAGAAATCTCGTGTTGGTCAAGTTTATTGTTAGCCAGTTTTGTCATAAGCGCCGCTCAACTATTATTATTCATGCTGTCCTTAAATAAAATATAAAATATACTTTATGTAAAGAACAATACTATATTAAAAATTAATATTTTACTTCAAGCTACATAATATATAATAAAAAATGACAGAAACCAAAATATGCTATAAAATTTGGAATATAGATCAGAAATAGTCTAATGAAGTGTCCTTACACAGATTATGTCTATTTTCCGTAATATCTTACAATTTTACAATGCTTTTTTTTTTTCAAAAAAACAGTCATAACACCATTTGTGGCTCTTTATTCGTAATAATCCTAATATTAACTGGTAAAACTTACCTGTAGACAGTTATATCACACGTTAATACGCTTTTATGGCAACACGACAAATGTCCTCTCTGTATCAACACAAATGTGACACTGTTCACGCCGGTGAAGTGTGCGAAACGGCTCAGTGAAAAACAGAACTTTGTGCCATCTAGCGGTCACTAGACGCAACATTAATACGACGTTTTTACAGCCAAACAAATGCAAGACTTGCTATTTAATGCTGTAAAGATGTTATAACGCAACTAATATGTGTTATGACACTTTTTTTGCCGGGAAGCGATGACTTGAAAAATAATATATAGATTCATTAGTGACTAGGGATTTAAGGCTTTAAATACTAAGACCCATTTTTTTTTTTATTAAATCTTGCGATCAGTCTTTCAGACTATGAGCAGATGAGATGGTTCTAATGGCATGTTAGGCTCTACTCCCAGTGGAGTCTGCCCTATCTTTACACAGTCATTCTTCTTTCTGACTGTTCTGGTCGAAAATGTCATGCCGCTTTTTTAATCGGCGGATGATTTCTGAGATAGTAAGCTGTCCTGCTAGTTTGTTCAGATGCCTTAGCAGCCGGGATTTGTAGTTTTCGCCATGTGTATTTATCTCCTCATTGACCATGGGAATATTGAGGATTTCTGTAGTCTTGATAAACCACGGTGCATTGGATATTTGTTTTAGTATATAATTTTGTACCCTTTGCACTTTCTTGTGTTGGAGGTACTGGCTGATCCCCAAAGTTGGATGCCGTAGGTCCAGATTGGCTTTAGAATGGATATATTAGGAGTTTGTCATCTATCGCCAGTTTTGAGTTTCTTCCAAGAAGCCAGAGAAGACCTGTGTATTTCAGGTTCATTTCTTCCCTTTTAGTTTCGACATGTTTTCTCCATGTGAGCCTTCGGTCAAGATGCATGCCCAGATATTTTACAGACTCGTGATATGGGAGTTGGCTGCCGTTTAGGGTAACGGGGTCACAGTAATGTTTGCATAATGTAAACGTGATATGCACTGATTTGGATACGCTGGCAGCAATTCTCCATTTGGCTAGCTATTCTTCTGTTTTATTTAAGCTAGTTTGCAAAATGCGAGATGCTTTTGTTGGACATTTGTGCGAGGCAAGTAAGGCAGTGTCATCCGCAAAGGCGGCAATTGTGATCTCGGAGCTTTGAGCGGTAGGTCGGAAGTAAACAGGGTGTAAGAGACAGGTCCAAGGACCGAGCCTTGTGGTACTTCTGCGGATATTTCATAGAGTCGCGAGGTGGATTGATTTTCTCTTACTTGAAATATTCTGTGTGTAATGTATGATTATAACATGATTATAACATTTACAATTATAACATCTGGGACCCTTATTTTTTTCAAATGACTTTGGCTTCTGTTGGCTATTCTTATACTTTTTCTTATGATTAGAATAGAATGCGCTGCTCGAACATTCATTTTTCACTTCTTGAAGCAACTTAGTTTTTATAAAGTCGGCACTAGTCTTCGCACCTGAGTTTTCCAATTCCATAATCATTGGTTTTTACTCATCATATAAACCTGCCAGCATTAATGTGCCAAGCCATTCTTCATTCACCTCGAAACCTATATTTCTCAGTTTGTGCGCAGCACTCATGATCCTGTTAACATAATCTTCTATACCGGCGCTTGATTCCAGTGAAGTATTGATTAATTCCTTCAACAAGCCCACTTTTCTAGTTAATCCATTGTCGTCAAAGGCCCTATGTAGACTGTCCCACACCTCCTTGGCAGTTTTACACTCCTGAACATGAACATAATTTTGAGTGTTTATTAATAAAATTAGTTTGGATTTGGCCTTGATGTCCTTTACGGGGTCGACCTTCTTTTCAGAACTATATTCTATGCAGTCCCACAAGTCCTCGTGCTCCAGATATGTTTTAATGCAAAATCTCCATGTCGAGAAATTCTCTCTTCCATTCAATTTTTCGATATTGAATATATTTGAGCTCATCTTTAAAGATTTTCAACAGACGCTGTGCGTGAGCACGCGGGCTGTATAACCTCACTTTTGAGTACTCTGCAATACTTCGGAATTACCCCGGATTTATTATTTGCAAAACTACGCTCTGCTACCATGTAGGATTTTAAGCAAACAATAAATTAGTAATTTAGTATTGTGTTTTATTTTATAAACTCTTTAACAATATACAGCACGCAAAAGATTATGATTTATGAATAAACAGATTTCTACAAGACACTTAGCGCCACGGAAGTAAAAGTAAAAAACAGATAAAAACTAATAAGAGTGCGTTCCATTTCTATCAATTTGTTTTGAAAAGTTGATATGCTGATTTTTAAGAGTGTTAGCGAGATGGAGGATCCTTTTCTGGCAGATTATGAGGCAATTTATTGCCATGAAATAATCCACCATGCATATTTGTTAATTCATTTTTCTGACCTAGTGTATTTCTCACAAGTTAAAGCATATGCGCTGGATTCGTAAAAATGACTATGTGCTGTTTATTATATATATATATATATATATATATATATATATATATATATATATATATATATATATATTCCAAATCATCGAAATTGCAACCTATGCTTGTTGCCATCGAAAAGCCAACCACAATCTATTAACAAACTTTTAATTAAGTTTATTTAACCGTTCTAAGCCCTCGTTTTCGTCAAGTGAAGGAATTAAAATATCATCCATGTAAAGGACCGCGTATGAATGTACTAAGTCACCTAAAGCATTTGATGCTGCTCGTTGGAAAACACTTGGCGCGTTACGTAAACCAAAAGGCATTGTCAAATACTCGTATTGCCCATCTGGGGTAACGAATGCAGTACGTTCGATACTTTCGGCATTTACGGGTATAAGATTAAAGCCACTTGCACAATCTAGACAGGAGAAGAAATTAGCCCCAGACAGTCTAGCAATCAGGTCAGAAATTAAAGGCAAAGGGAAGCGATCAGGTACAGTATTCCTATTTAACTCGCGATAATCCACGCACATACGGTCACTACCATCACGCTTTTTCACTAATAAAATAGGACTCGAAAAGGGAGAACAACTAGGACGAATAATTTTCGGTTGTAACAACTCGTTAATTTTGGTACGCACAACTTGCCTTTCACCTGGACTTAATCGGTACGGACGACGTTGAACAACAATATTTGGATTTATCAAACGAATATTTAATTCACCAGTTGTAACACGCGTTTTTGGCAAACCGTCTACAAACGAATCGGAAAAGTCTTTTAACAATGTCACTAATTTTTGTTTATTTTCCGTGGAAATATCTGAATTTACCTTATTAAAATTTGAAGGTAATTCACAAAAATCTACGTCTTTAAATTTTTTAATTGTCAAACAAGTTTCTGTCATCGTAATTATATATCCTAGTTTTAGAATAACACGACCTATCATAACGTCTTGCCTTAAAGCGTTATCAGGCAGAATGTGAAATAAAATTGAAAAACAATTACCATTAATAACAACGTCACTTTGAATTTGTTCGGTACAACACAGAGTGGAATTACCAATACCGGTAATGTGGATAGAGGCATGATAACGTGTGCCTAAAAATTTGCTAGCTACACTAAGTTTCATGAGAGAACATTCGGCACCGGAATCAAAGAAAAATGAGTACAACTCACCGGAGTGTTTTAGCTGGACCGTCACGCCTTGTGTCTCGCAATAATCTACACGACGCGGTGGTAGTGCTCCGCCGTTACCAGCCTTTCCGTTTGTGCTGCTACTACCACGAGTGCCGAAGTTTGAACAGTGTGTTGCGATGTGTCCTTTCTCGCCACAAGTGAAACAAATGACGTTTTTCTTCATGTTAGGAGTGGCTACCGACGAAGAGTTTGTAGATGCACTCTGAGTTTGATATGCATTAAACTTTCGTTTGCGACAGTCGTTTATTTTATGGCCCAATTTGCCACAATAATTGCATGTCAAAGGTTCACTTGTTGAAGGTCTAAAACGCTTGTTATCCAGCACTTTGTTGTCACGATCATATAGTTTGCGTTTCAAATAAGAAAATGACTTCATTTCTTGCAGCAACTTGCTTCTATTGGAAATTTCGGTGGTACATGCCAAACGATGGAGTCTAGTGTCGAATTGGGAGGTATGCGCAAGTACATACGATATAGCAATTTCCTCAGCAGTCAGGTTTTTCCATTTTGTTGTTAGTGACGTCATCAATCGACTTGCGTATGCAGCCATACATTCGCCTTCCTTTGGTCGACCATTGTTGATATTTATAAGAGCTGCTGCGACGGTTTCAGAACTTTCATAACGAATGGTACTACAAACGAGTTACTACAAACAGCTACAATCGAAATGATGGTACTACAAACGAAATAGTGGTACTGCAAACGAAATTAACGTTACTACAAACGAAATTAACGTTACTTCAAACGAATTTAGTAAAAATCGTTCTGCAAAAATATTCGAAAAATTTTGTTTTACTACAAACGAAAACAATTGCACTACAAACCACTACTAACGTTTTACTATACGAATCAAGCGGAAAAAATTTTTTTTACCAACTTCGGGGGATGACATTTTTTGTTGTCTGTATTTTTTTCTACTACAAACGAAGTTAGCTTCACTACTATCAACTACTAACCGAAATCGTTCAAATAAACCTAAAAAAGAACCATTTTTCCAAAGTCGGGTGCCAAGTTCACATAGCCTCATAACGAGCAAGAAATAGCTCCTTGAAATAAGTCCACGTCATACCAGGATATGACACTTGTGACAGCCACGAAGAAGCACTGCCTTTCAAAGACTTGCTGAGTGCAATGATCAAGGCACCTCCTTCCAGCGCTTGTTCTGCCATACAAATGTCAATGGTTGAGCACCAGGCATGTGCATCAGCATCATTGGAGTCAGGATTGAACTCTGGGAGTGTTGGTACAGCTCGGCGTGATTTCATAGCTTCAATAAGCACAGTCATATTCCGTTGTTGGAGTTCAAACATCATCTGCCATTGACTTTCGTGGGTAGTTGGTGGTTGTGATGCCTGAGTGAATCCCACTTCTGATGACGGCGGCTGCGATAGATTAGCGGCACGCCCGTCATCGGTAGGAGCTTCTGTTACAGGGTTCATGGCGTAGGTCTCAGGCAATTAAACCACAAAGATATAGTTTGATAATCTTTGTATTCTATGTAGGTAATCAGCAATCACAAATTACAAAGTAGGTATAAATATCGGAGTTGAGTAAACCAACGGTCCCGTTTGGAAGGTCCGAACTGTATCGCTATTACTAGTGAACTGTCCTCTGACACACTGCTCTTTGATATTTATAGTAACAGTTGCCCCTCCAAACGATTCCGATCGCGTGACTCGTTACGCCACGGCGTTCACTCCCCACCGTTACAACAATATCAATTGAGTTATTGAGTTACTAATTATTGTTAAATTATCGTATGAAAAGGGGTATGATATTCAGCCGTTCACACGGAACTGAGATTGCCATTATACATAATCTTTTACGAATATAATTGTAATATTGGGTATGTAATTTTCCGATCTTCCCACTGTTTTAGAGGATCTACTTATTTTTTTGTATATTTATATTTAGATGTTTATTATTATTTATATTTAGATGTTCTATTCAACATTTCTTCTTCTAAATATTTATCGAGCTTTATGATACCTGCTGCTGTTTGATTTTGAGGTCTTGCATTGTTCAGTTCAGCATCGAACTCCTCCCATAACGAAGATTTCGATGTTGTTGCGGATTCAGTAACTGTTACTGTTCGATTGGCAGGAGCGTTTATTGGCGGCGCATCTTAAAGTCTCACTGACTCTAACCTTCTTTTCAAGTTAGAGACAGCTGTTTCATAAGGTGCAGTATCTTTAAATCCAAAATTGTTGCTTCTGCATTTATAAGCTCTTGCTCTCTATGTTTCGAAACCTCTCAGTTAGCTGTTACTTCAGGGTAGAAAGACTGTTGATACTATTTCCAATGACGATCCACTTCTAGTTTCTGCATCTAAATGTTTATTGACATGACGAATCATAATTTTGCAAAGAACCGGAACATTTGATAGGGACACATACTTTTCAAAATATATTTCCGTTGTTATATTATAAAATAACTCCAATACTTTAATGTCTTTTTCCACGATGCTCCAGTCATGAGCAGTCAACGTTTGAAGGCCAAACCAAGTATAGCCGTAGTAGATATAATAGCTTCTTTAATGCTGAAAAAGCGGAACAAAATATTATGATTATGTTGAATTCAGACATCGTACATAATAAAGTAATTAAAAACATTACTTAAATGTTTTTAATTTAACTGTAACTAATTTTAATTTTTATAAATAACAATTTTAGAATAATAATTAAAAGACTTTAGCGATTGGGTGATATATGGTGTAATAAATTAACACGTAAAACTGAACGATATATTTATTATGAGTGCGAGTGTCTATTCCAACTCAGGGCTGCAAATACATATAATGTAATGTGCTGACGGCACATAACATCCCCCTTTGAAAAAACAATATGGAATACAATTTCTTAGTGACAAAAATAGGTAAAATTATTTAACATAGCATGTAAAATCTTTGTACATATTAAAAATGATTACATAATGTTTTTGCATTATAATATCTTAATAAAGAACGAAACACAAAAAATAAAAATAGTAAACATTGTCTTCATTAATGATCATTTGAAATAACGCAAAAAAATTGATTACTACTAACATCTTGAAATTCGATTAGCCGTAAATAAAATGGTACAAAATAAAGTTGTTTTAATATAAGTATATCATAATTAGAACAACATAAAATAATAATATTCCATGTTACATCATGAAATTGGAATAGAAATACATGCTTAAATATATTTTGTTTTATTAACTAACATTATATGGTATATTACGTGAGTATAGAGTTCATAATTCGAATATAGTACCATTAAACTAAGGTAACACATAACTTGCACTTATACATGCCTCTTAACTAGGCACCAAATTATTCACTTCACGTCACACAATCACTTGTTGAGTAAACGGGCTGTTTGGGCCCTGGTCGCTAATGCGATAAGGCGTGTACAATACAATGTTGTCCTTGGGAGTAGGGTTCCCTCTGGGTTTGTAATGAAACTCCAGTGATTGGATTGTTTAAAAAAAAATATTTCGTTCAACACCTTATATACAAATCATCTAAACCAAACGATAGCGCGTTTTAGAAGACCCCTAATGCCATCTATTACAAATATATGTACAACCCTAATATATTTAAATTTTGAATATAATAGAATGTGCTTTATACTATGCCAATACTAACTTAATATATAGAAACTTATACAAGGTGTAATTGCTAAATCTTGCAACTCTCTGCGCTTGTATCTCCCATAGTTTTGCAATTTTTCCAAATAAAATATCCTATAATTCCCAGGATAAATAAAGTTATGAAAACTAATTACAGCACAATTCTAAATATATTTTCCGTATGTTTTGTAGTTGCAGATGCTTCATTGCCGGCACCATTTTGCGCTATTATTATTTCTTCTTTGACTTCTTTGCTCTGTTGTTTTCCCATCGTTATTATAATTCAGATAATGTTATTACGGAACAAAGCGAACGACTGGCTTGCTAATACGACCAGATATTGTAATCCTCGGTTCATTCCGATTTTTGTTTACATAAGTCGTATCCTCATATGGCGCGCTTTTGCATTCTTTGGTGTCAATTGCAAATGCTGGCTTTAATCTGTCGATACTAACGCATTGCTGCCAATTTGCTTTCATTATTTTAAAATATTTGTCTGTACGTTCGCTGACTTTGTATGGTCCGGAATATGGTGGATACAGTGGCTTCGTGACTTGATCGCATCTAACGAAAACGTGTACACGCGCTTAATTCAGGATATACGAATATACGACCTTGCCTATTTTCTCGTTTCGGAATCGATGAAATTTGCTTTATTCTATGTCGCAAATTTTGCAAAAAAAATCATTTTCAGTGATTTCTAGCTTTGTGGGCGAAAAGAAATCTCCTGGTAGGCGTATCACTTGTCCATAAACCATTTCGGCAGCGCTCACACTTGTGTCATCGCGGAAAACTACCATTAGCAGCGATAGTTTAGAACTGTCACATGAGTTATCACTAAAAATCTTTTTTTGAAAGATAAAACTGATATATTTGCTCCTGTGTCCACTAAAAATCTGAATCCGGTTTTATTATCACTAATACATAGGCGGTGAGCAGGTGTAATGGCACATATCTCCGCCGAAGATTGTACCACATTTAGTTTTCCGAATTATTATGTTTTTTCCACGAACACGGCTCCACACATTTCTTTGCTCGGCTATGAAACTTGTGATGATAATAACGAAGCCAATCAGCGTTTTTCGGCGTACGCCGTGTAGTATTACGAGCTCTCGAGACAGACCGTCGCCGTACATAGATTATTGCAACGAATTCTTGGCACCTAATCCTCTCCATATCACGAATACGCAAACTTAATTTTGCAAGTTCAGCCAAAACAAAAGAGTTGTCACTTGAGCTGGAACCAGCTGTATGAATTTCGAAAATATTCACAGGTCTTGAGGTTTCCATGACCTTATCGGCCATTGCAGCTACTTTTTCGAGGTCTTTAACATGACTTACAGCTAAAACAGCTCGTACAGAAGCAGGTAAATACTTAAGGACTTTGCCACATAATGAGAAGTGTTTCATTCGGTATTTTTCCACGCGCCAAATCTCTCATTCGACGCAAAAGCTCTGAATTCCTTTGGTCACCCAATTCCATTCCGCTGAGTAATTTTTGAAATTTACTGGTTTCCGATTCCACGTACACTACACTTCGCTATTAATATTACAAGACTTTTATAGAAAATTTAAATTTACTTTATCTTCTTCATCCCCCTTTATTAACAAATGATAAATTTTTTAAACAAAATAAATATAATATTAGTCTTAAGTTTACCATAACAACTTAACAAGTATAATCTAGAATATGTTTCTTCTGATGTTAATGTTTTATAATAAAATACATTTAACTATAAACTTATACAATATACTAAAATACAACTACAGATACTAAAATACAATAAATACAGATACACCTTCAACCAGTGAGAACCAAAGTCTGGCGAACCACAAAGTCTAGGCTCGCCTAATGTAATAAGAGGTTCTGTTATAATTTACATGATTTTTATCTCTTATTATGTATGACCTGTTACCTACATAATTAATAATTTTACTTTGTAACCACAAATTCTTATGTACATCTTTTTTAAACCAAATATTTTGTCCAATATTAAATTGTTTTTTGAATCTACTTGTTTTATTATAACTTTTCATGTTTCTATCCCTTTGCTTGCTAAACTGTACTTCTACATTATTATATATTTTTGGCAATAAATATTTCTTAGAAGATATTAATTTAGTTCTTAAATTCCTATTCATCAACTGTTCACAAGGAGAAAAATTTGTTCCTGCTACAGGTGATACTCTATACTTTAATAAGGCTACTCTCCAGTCTGTGTTGTCTTCATGACATTTATATAATATGTTTTTAGCTATTTGTACACCTCTTTCAGCCATACCGTTAGACTGAGGATATCTAGGACTAGTATAAAAATATTTAAAACCCCATTCCTTAGCAAATTGTTAACAATCTCTTGAATCAAATGGTACATGATCCGAAACAATTTCACAAGGTACACCAAAATTACTAAAAATATCTTATAACCTGTTTATTATAGCACTAGCACTTTTATTATTAATAGGCTTAATATCTAACCACTTTGAGTAATAATCATAAACTACTAAATAACTTTTCTTTCTAAACTCCATTATATCTATGCCTAATTTTAAAAATGGTAAGCTAGGAACTCTATGAGGCATCAACGGCTCTTTAATATTATTATTTTGATAAATTTGACATGGAAAGCATTTCCTAACGAACTCTTCAATATGAATATCCAGATGAGGCCAAAAATATAGTTTTCTAGCTAACTGTTTCATCTCAGACATGCCTATATGACCTTCATGCAATAATTTTATTATTCCTAATCTTAAATTTTTTGGTATGACTAACCTATCTTTATAAAATACCAACTTATTATCAAATGAAAGATCATCTTTTATCCTGTGCTAACTATGTAAATAATCTGGAATTTTATTATAACTAGGCCATCCATTTTTAATAAATTCTATTATTTCTACCAATTCCCTATCAATTTCACTATCTTTAATTATTTGTGTTTTTTGTTCTGGTGAACATTCTAAATTTTGTGCAAGACCTATGCTATGAATTACCTCATACATATATGACTCATCATCCTCATTATTTTCTTGATAAGCACGAGACAATAAGTCTGCAATATACAAAAATCTACCTTGTAAGTATTTAAGTTCAAAATTATGTATATTTTAATAGTTTTAATCTTAATCTTTGTAATCTCGGTGATGGTATTTCACGTAAATGTTTTTTAAGTAAGCTTTCTAAGGGTTTATGATCATTAATAATAGTTATTTTATAGCCATAAATGAAATAATGAAACTTTTTAACAGCCCAAACTACACTTAATAATTCTTTCTCTATTTGTGAAAAATTGCGCTCAGCCTGTGTTAAACTACGAGATGCAAAACAAACTGGCTTATTATTTTGCATTAAACAACAACCAATACCATCCTTGGATGCATCACATTGTACAACAATAGTTAATTTACTATTAAAATTCTGTAATATGGGAGCTTCTGTTACCAATTTCTTTAAATTCTTAAAAACATTCTCATGAACATCAGTCCACAACCACTCAACATCTTTTTATAATAATAAATGTAATGGTGATGCTATATTAGCCATATTTGTTATAAATTTTCTTAAATAACTAACCATTCCTAGAAATATTTGCAATTGTTTTTTATTATTAGGACTTTTTATACTTAATATTGCATTTACTCTGTCAGGGTCTATTTTCATGCCACTTTCAGAAAATATATGTCCAAAATACTTAACCTCTTTTAACTTATATTGAAACTTATTTGGATTAAACCTAACATTATGCTCAACTGCACGTTCAAATACTTTTCTCATAATTCTATCATGGTCTTTTTCTGAATCGCCACAAATTAATAAGTCATCACAATAAACTATTACTCCTGGAATGTCCCCAAAGGCCATTTCACTATATTTTTGAAAAATTTCAGGTGCCACTGACAACCCAAAAGGCATTCTTAAGAATTTGTAACATCCATATGGACTATTAAAAGTACAAAGATCACTCGAATCCTTACTTAGTCTAATATTATAGAAACCATCTGATAAATCTAACACAGAAAAACATTTTTTATTTCCTAATTTAGAAACAATTTCATCAATAGTAGGTATTAAATAATGTTCTCTAATCAAAACTTTATTAAGATCCTTTGGATCTAAACATAACCTTAAAGAACCATCTTTCTTTTCAATGATCACCAGATTACTCACAAAATTTTTTGGGTGTTCAACTTCCGCTAAGACTTTGTGCTTCACCAGAGCTTCCAATTTGTCAGCGAGTCGTTTCATTAGCGCGTTAGGCACTCTTCGTGGCGGTCTTACTACAGGCTCCACACCTGGTTGAATGCGCAACTGCAGCGGACTCTTAAACTCTCCCACACCTTGAAAAAGTTTTTATTAATTTTAATTATGTCTTCCTTACTTTTATTACAATAATTTTCAGTTTTAATAGTATTAATATTAGTATTATTAATTAAATTAAGTTTTATTAATGAATTTAAGCCCAGTATCGGCCTAACTTGTTCTTTTATTATTAAAAAATCAAGGTTTAGACACTCAGTCTCATCATTATTCTTAATATTATAAACCTTTAAGGTGATTACACCAAGAGGTATTAATTTACCCCCACCTCTATTAATGTTTTAGTCTGAGAAAATCTTATTTGTTTATCATCATCGACTATTTTCTTCAAATCACTTAACCAAATTACATTTACTTGTGCCCCGGTATCACATTTAAAACAAACTTTCTTATTTTCTACTCTTAACATCTCTGTCCATTCATTATTTTTTAAATCTAAAGAGTATACTAGTCATAAATCATTGATATTATTTTGTGAGATTTTTTTATCAACTTCATGTACTCTCTTTTTATCACTAACCAGCCTACAACCTACGCTGTAATGATTCATCTTATTACAATTATTACACTGCTTACCAAAGGCTGGGCATTGCCTTGGACCATGAACAGTATTACATTTTTTACATTTATAATAATTTTTACTGAAATTACTTCTACTCATATTATTATTATTATTATATTTTTTAAGCTTTAAAATCTCTTCAATTACGTAGGTGATTTTTACTATACACGGGCCTGAGCCAAGTGTAAAGTAAGGGAGGGGGAAATTTAAAGGGGTAACTAGGATTGTGACAAAAACTTTCGTACTAATCGGCATGTGTTTAAGATTACTGCTTTCTGGAGAAGTATGTATGTGGAAGGATGAATATTAAGAATTTTAAGACTTTGATGTAGTGTTTTTGGAATAACTCCAGTGCTAGATATAATAATAGGTACGATTTTAGTGGAATATACTTTCCATTGGGTTTTAATCTCGATCGCCAAATCTGTGTACTTTGATATTTTTTCAGTATAAGTCGAAGCTAAATTATGTGTATTGCAGATCGAAATATCAATTAAGTAGACAGAATTACATTCTTTATCAAAAATGGTTATATCTGGTCTGTTGTTATGTATTGTTTTGTCGGTGACTATAGTTCTGTCCCAGTAGATTTTACATTTATTGTTCTCTAATACTGACTGCGGTTCATATTTATAATAGGGTAATTTTTTCGGGAGTAAATTATTCTGAAAAGCTAGGTTTTGATGTATTATAGCTGCTACTTGGTCATGACGATGTTTGTAGTCACTTTGTGCTATAGATTTACAGGCACCTGTTATATGCTGTATTGTTTCAGAGCTACTATGACAATGCCTACAGATATCTATTATATTTGGTCTTCGAATAATATATTTTTGATAATTTTTAGTGTCTATTACTTGATCTTGTATGGCAAACATGAAACCTTCAGTCTCAGGGAAAAGATGACCTCGCTTAAGCCAAGCGTTCGACGCTATTAAATCGACATGTGGCTGCTTTAAGTCGTGGCGATGTCTTCCATGTAGAGACTTTTCATTCCATGCTGCAATTTTATCTTTATTTTGAGTAATGGTATGAGAGGTTTGACTTCTTCTATCCTGTAGATTAAGAGGTGTAAAATGCTTGTCTGCTTCTACTATACTTTTATGAAATGTAGATTGCTCTGCCTGCTCGTGAAAAAAATGTCGTAATGTAGCTATTTGTTTATTGTGTAAATTGGAAATGTCTATTAAGCCTCTACCTCCTTCTTCTCTAGGGAGCGTCAGTCTTTGTATACAAGATCTTGGATGATGCTTACATTGTTTTGTCATTGAAGTACTAATTAGACGCTGTAACTTTATTAAATCAGTTTTAGTCCAAGAAATGATTCCAAATGAATATGTAAGTATCGGGATAGCGTAAGAATTAATAGCTTTTATAGTGTTAGCAGAGTTCAAGTTCGTTTTTAATACTGAACAAAGTCTATGTCTAAATTTGCGGATAAGTTCTGCTTTCGTATGTTTTTGAAGAATTTGTCGGTCTTGTTGGAATCCTAAATATTTGTATGAATTGTTTTGATCTAATGGGTCAATTTTTTCTCCCGTATTTAAGATATAATCATTTAATTGAAGTCTACCTTGACAAAAAGAATAGGTTTTGCATTTTTCTATCCCGAATTCCATACATGTATCGTTACGCCATGGCTATATAATTTTATGTCATCCATGTAAAGTAAATGTGAAATTAAAACAGAAGGGTGTGATTGATCTTTTGCAATTGTGATGCCAAAATTATGTTTATTTAATAAATGTGAAAGAGGGTTTAAAGCGAGACAAAACCAAAGATGGCTTAAGGCGTCTCCTTGAAATATACCGCGTCTAATTAAAATTTCATCTGTTTCAATTTCATTCCTGCTGTAAGTTTTGTTCGCCATTGCTTCATTGCATGTGATAAAAAAGTAATTAGTGTTGGGTGTATATGGTAAAGTTGGAGAACTTCCAGAAGCCAGCTATGAGGTACTGAATCAAAGGCTTTTTGATAATCTACATACATAGTAAATATGTCCTGTTTATTTGCATATGCTTGTTTCATTATAACCGAGTCTATTATAAGTTGTTCTTTGCAGCCTTGGCTGTTTTTACGGCAGCCTTTCTGTTCTATAGCAAGGATATCGTTGCTAGTGACGTGTTCATTGATAAGAGCTGCAATACATGATGTGAGAAGCTTATAAAATGTTTGTAAACAAGTTATAGGTCGGTACATAGCTGGGTTCTGGGTTTGACAACTGTCCTTTTCAATCATGAATGTCAAACCTTGTGTTATATAATTTGGCATAGAATCTGGATTTTCGATGAATCTGTTTATGTGTGTTAGCAATAGTGGATGTAAAGTCGTAAATTTTTTATACCAGTAGTTGTGTATGTGATCTGAGCCAGGGGTTTTCCAATTATGTGTTTTGTTAAGAACTTGCACAAATATTTCTAAAGGTACTGCATTAAAAATCATTTGAGGAATATTATCTTTTTCTGATATTGTTTGTATCCAGTCAGCTTGCTTATTATGTTGTACCGGGTTTGTCCAAATACCTGACCAATAATTTTGAAATTGCTCTTTTGTAGGTAGTCGATTTGACGATGTATTTTGTTGTATATTGTTAGTGTCTTTATTTAGGTTCCTATAGAATTTTTTTTGGTTATTAGCAAATTGTCTATTTTGTGTCTTTCTTAAAGTGCAATTTTCATATCTTCTAAGTCTGCTAGTCTTAGCTGAAAGTCTTTGTTTTAAGCTATCAAGATACTGTTCATTTGAGATATTCGGTTCCTCATACCGTGAATGCACTTTAAATTTTTCTTTAATAGCCGCTACTTGTGATATAAGTCGGTTATTTCTATTTCCTCTAATATACTGGGTCATTCTTCCAATGTCAGCTCTAAGCGATTCTATTTTTTTCTGTAATCTTATTTTCATTATTAAAATTTCTTTTATTATTTATATAATTATTATTAAATGACCTATCTTTATTTGATTTATTATTATTATACTTAGATTTATATGATTGTTGCTGCGTAGACTTCCCCACTTGAACTGCATGAACCTCCGGACTGGTCAGCACCTTCAAATTTTTTCTGGGCAGCTCAGCAGACCGACAGATGTCCACTGCTTTGGCCATCGTAAGGTCCTTCACCTCGAGAAGCTTCTGCTGTATCCGTTGCTCTTTGACTCCGATGACTATTCTGTCCCGTATCATGCGTTCTTTTTGATCACCAAAATTACAATTTTCTGCCATTTTTCTTATTACAGAGTAAAATGCGTCGAACGATTCCCCATCTTCTTGATACTGTTTATTGAAATTATAACTGTTAATGAGTTTATAGTTATGAGTAAATTAATCTACTACTACTTAATAATAAAAGAATGATAGCATGAAAGAGACAAGAAAGAATGATTGAGAGGCCAAATGAAGACTGTTATTCTTGTATAAAGTACAAGAAAAGAATTTAATAACTTTTACAAACAATTATAACATATAAATTTATAACACAAAAATGATCGCTAGAATAATGAGAGGAATTATTCGTCTGCGCGCCTAGATCCTTAGCGAGTGTGCCGAATGAGCAACGACAGTGTTGCCAACACGGTGTCAGGTTTTGGGGCTAAATGGAGTTCTAAAAAGGGCTAGATGGGGGCTAGATTTGGCCACGGAGGTTCTCCTTCTATCTAAGCTCCGTGACTTGGCCAAAAAAATTAAAATAGGAAAAGTTCCTTTTTTTTATTGAAATCAAATAAAATAAGTATTTTTTTAATAATCGTTTACTTAATATTAACCAAAAAATTAAAAAAATCAACTTTTTTAATTAAAAATACACCTTAAAACTCAATCTCCTCATTGTAAAATTAAAATTGTAAGTTTCAATTAACTTTTCAAAGTTATAGCCAAGGTATGGCATCGGATCTAAATAATTGGTAATATTGTCTTTGAAAATATCAATGGAGTGTCGTCTTCCAGGAATCACAATTTTATCGCACAGGACCTCTAACAATTTCACTAAAGGTTTCAGCAGTTTTGTTGGGTCACTGGTTTGTCCTTCAAATGACTTTAACGCGTATTGTACTTATGCAATAATAGCTTTTATATAAACCAAATATGCCTTCCAGAAAGGAATGCTGTACATGTTAAACAGCGTTTCAGCCGTAAAACAATTATTTTTACTTTTCGCAATTATAAATAGTTTCAATTGCATTTACACTATCCACGGGTTCAGGTATTGTTTCAGCAACAGGTTCTTGTATCTTTTTTCAATCTAGTGTAGTTCTCTAATTCATAAACTCGCGCCATATCTAACATTTCAGTGATATCCAATGTTTTTCGCAGCCACTTTCGTTTTAGATCGGGGTACATACATTTTTCAATTAACTGGTCTCTTATACACTCATCCTTGTCTTTAAAGTCGAAATATCGACTTTGTTTTCGTAACTTTGTGACAAACTGAGCTGTCGTTTCTTCCCTTTTAAACTCCAAACTTCTGAACTTTTGTCGTTCATAGGCGGTATTCAACTTGGGCACAAAGTATTCTGTCAACTTGTTGACTGCAGGCTCGTAGTCATCTTTGCTTTCCGCGCTCACCACTTGGTCTGATAAAGTTTCGTAAATGTCTTGTACATATGGCCCTGCCTGGTGTAGGAGTCTCGACAGTTTTTTTTTGAAGAGAGACCAACTTGACCGTCCAGGTAATAATTAAAATGGCGAATCCAATATCGCCATCTTTCCGCACAAGTATGAGGTTCAGTATGCGGATCGAATTGTGGCCCTGCTGCTCCAAGATGGGTCTCCGCCAACGCCGATAGTGTCATGTTTTCCTCGTCGCCAATTGTAGTTCTTCAAATAATACACCCATACAATATTGTAATCCGAATTTAATCAACTAACAACATTGGTGGAGCAAGTGGACTGTAATTTTGGGATGCGGGAAGGCGTATTACCTCCCGAGAAGGGACCCCTGCCGGTGATGGAAACACCACATGCAAAAAAACAAAAGTTCAGGGACTCACCTTCTGCTGCAACTCCTATCTCCGCTTCCATGAAAATTAGCACAGGGCACTTAAAGTTCGTATAGTACACAGTAAATAAAAGTTTATAAGCGTATAGGGCGCGGTCAACCTGCGCGCGCGCGGTGCGGGATGATAGTTAATTACGCGGAAGCCGTGTTAATTGTTACACGGTGTAACGACGACTGGGGTGAGTGCATCAGCGCACTCACGCGGCTTATCCCATCACAATTGCCTATTTGCAAAATAGCGCAACCATCCCCCCGGCCTTTAGGGTTTCCCTAAACAAGAAAAGGGACGGGAAAGGAATATAATGAGAATTAAGGATGGGATAAAAATTTATAAATGCGGAACGAAATGAAGCGGATGAGATGCGTCGCGGATGCTAGCGGAATATAAATTAAAACGCGGAAATAAGCTATAATGTAACTTAGTAACTATGAAGTAAGTTAAACTAAAGATTTAACGTAAACTAAATGCGACTAAAACTAAATGAAAATGTATATGAACTTTACTGATTGGGCAAAGGACAAAGTTTTGCCACTGGGCGCACGTAAGTACCGGTTTGCGTGCGCACACGCGCTACCCTGATAACACCATCGGAGCCAGGGTGGACCTCGTCTATGACAGCAAGAGGCCAATTAAGCGGTGAACAATTATCTGATTTTATAATAACAATCAAGCCTTTCCTAACTGGATTGGATGGCGTGTTCCATTTTAAACGCGTTTGCAACTCTGAAAGATACTCCTTTCGCCACCGATTCCAGTAACTTTGAACGAGCTTGTCGAGTAATTGTTTGCGATGTAATAAATTAAGATTTGCATTTTCGCATGGAATGGAATGAAACGAAGTCAATGGACCTAACGTTAAAAAATGAGACGGGGTTAACGCGGTTGGTTCGGAAGGATCCGAACTCATGACAGTAAGTGGACGCGAATTGAGCACGCACTCAATTTGTGTAAGCAATGTATACATTTCTTCGTAGGTAAGCAACGTCTCGCCTACGACGCGTTTGAGATGAAGTTTGACACTACGTATGTTAGTCTCCCATACACCACCAAAATGAGGCGAATTAGGAGGGTTCATACTCCAATTGATGCCGTGAGATACAGCCTCTGCATTAAAAGATTCGCGAAACGATTTAGATTTAAGAAATTTATGTAATTCATCGAAATGCGTCTTGGCGCCAACAAAGTTGGTACCATTGTCAGAAAACAAGTTTAAACATTCACCGCGGCGCGAAATGAAACGCTTAAAAGCCCGTAGAAATGACTCAGTGCTAAGATCGACAGCAAGCTCTAAATGCACTGCTCTCGTAACAAAACAAGTAAAGAGACAAATATATGCCTTTTCTTTACGTGCGCCTCTGTACCTACTTATAAGAATGTTATAAGGTCCGCCATAGTCAACGCCCGTATTCATGAAGGGCTTGGCTTCGTTTACTCGAGGAGCGGGTAGAGACGCCATGAATGGGTTTAACGAACGCGGGTTTGATTTAAAACATTTATTACAATTTCTAAATCGTTTTCGTACTATATTACGACCAGACATTATCCAAAATCTCTGTCGCAACAATGATAAAAGAAGATGCGGTCCAGGATGTAAAAACCTGTGATGATAACTATCTATAATCATTTCCGTAATGCGATGATTTTTAGGCAACAATATAGGATGTTTGGCGTTAAATGACAGCGAGGATTTATTTAAACGTCCTCCTACGCGGAGTAAACCATCTTTATGAACGAACGGCGCATATGGTAACAAAGATTTCGAGACTTTGCGGTGTGAATTGATTGCCGAAATGTCGTTCTTAAAGACATGCGATTGTAAACAACGAAGAATAGTTACCTCAGCAACCTTAAGGTGTTCAAACTGTAAAAAGTCAGAGCGCGGAAGTTTACGAGTGAATCTTAAAATATAAACAATGATACGAAGTAGTTTGTCCCACGAGGACACGCGTGACGCGAGTTGAAGAAGAAAATTTTCTTCAGCGACTACGGTTGCGGTGCAGACAATAAGAGATGGATTAATATTCTTATATTCATAAACTTTATCATTCGCGGTGTCATCAAATGTGAACCTATTGAGAGGCCACGACGCGGGGTTGTCACGAGCCCATTGCGGGCCGTGCATCCATAGCGGATGAACTAATAGTTTGCGCGGGAGATAAACCTCTAGAGATGCAGTCACTAGGGTTTTGTTTTCCATCAACATGGAAAAAATGACGCGGCGCGAGATACTCTTGTATCTTAGAAATACGATTGGCCACAAATGTGTCAAATCGGTGCGGAGACGAATGTGTCCAGTGTAAAGCCACGGACGAATCAGTAAAAGCAAACACGTCATCAACTGTACAACGTGCCGCTATTGAGTCGCGGATAAAATTAAGCAGCTGTGCCATGATCAACACAGCGCAGAGTTCTAGCCTGGCCAGCGAGACGGTACGTGTCGGAGCGACGCGACTCTTGGCCATGGCCAGCGTGACGCGGTTTGGTTCTCCTGGAACCACAACACAAATATAAACAACGGCTCCATAGGCTCTCTCACTTGCGTCAGAAAAACCAAGAAGAAAAACGCGGTGTGTATCAGATGTGATACCAAAAAATCGCGGTATTTGAAAATTATGTAAAAGTGGTAACTCATTTATAAAAGTTTTCCACGCGGTGCAAATATGTTCAGACGGCGAGTCGTCCCAACCGATATGGGCGAGCCATAAAGCTTGAATTAATAATTTCGCATATAAAACTACTGGAGCACAAAAACCGTTGAGATCCCATAGTTTAGCTACGGTAGACAACATGAGACGCTTTGTACACTCAGCCCGCGGGGTAAAATTAATAGCAATACGAAAAATATCTTCGCGGGGACACCAACTTAAGCCTAGGATTTTAAGTGAATCATCATTGTCAAACTGAACCTGGCTTGACAAGTGATTTTCAACCGGGATCGCGTTCAGAACCTCTGTCGAATTACTAACAAATTTAACTAAGTTAAATCCGCCGCATCTAAACAGTTCAATTAAATCCTGTGCCAGGCTAGCGCCATCTGCAGACGAACGAGTCGAAATACACAAATCGTCCATATATATGTAGTTTAATGCTATATCAGCAGCAAGCGGAAAATTCTGCTGCTGCTCAGAAGCGAGCTGTCGTACAGCGCGCATTGCGAGATAAGGACTGCAGCGCAGGCCGAAGCAAACGCGGTTAAAATTATATAATTTTACGTCGCTTTCATTCGCAAACCTATAAAGAATATTTAAGAAACGACGATCCGATTTGCGAACTATTAAATTTAAAAACATTTGTTTAATATCAGCGGTAAATGCAATTTTAAAAAGTCGAAAATTTAAAATAATAGCGGTGAGGTCTGTTTGTAAGTTAGGGCCTGAGTGTAAGCAATCGTTTAAAGACATTCCTGACGTTGTCTTGTGACTAGCGTCTAATACGACACGAAGTTTAGTAGTAAGTTTATCTGAGCGACAAACACCATGATGCGGTATAACGTAGTATGGATCCTCCACGTTCAATGGAGGCGCGAGTTCGATGATTCCATTTTTTAAATATTCGCGGAATATCGCGTCGTATTCCTTACGAAGAAGAGGGTTTAAATTAAATTTTCGCTCCAAAATGTTATAGCGACGACGCGCAGAAACTAGAGAATCCCCTAAGCAAGAAGGATCGCGGTTAAACGGTAACGCGGTAACGAAGCGACCAGTGCTATCGCGGGACGTAGTAGAAACAAAGAACTGTTCGCACTGGTGCTCAGCGGGAGATAAATGTTTTTTAGACGGTACCTCCTGTAAAGACCAAAACCTCGTAACTAAATTTTCAATTGAATCTTCGGTCGAAGTGAAAAACGTATGCGTGGATGTAGAAGTCATAGGAAAATCAACTAAGTTTTCAAGCGAACCTAAAATAATGTATCCAAATGCGGTTTCAAATGCGTCCGGTTTCCCCGGGGGTCCGACCACCTTACCAGGGCGAAGGATCTCGGTAAAAACTTCAGAACCGAGAATCAAGTCTACTTGACCAGGTACGTAAAAGTCCGGGTCAGCGAGCGCAATATTATTTAAATAATCTATTTGTTTCGCGTCTATGTTTGTCGAAGGTAATTTATCTGAGATTTTATTTAAGACGAGTGGGTTAATACGAATCGTGTAACGCGGATCGTAGTGAGAAGCTAAAGTCAGCTCTGTAAAAGTACCTATAGACTGCGTCTCATAATCGCCAATGCCTTTTATTGAGAGAGGATTATTAATAATTGTTTATTGCGTTAAGGTGTATTATTGCTTGAATAGACTTAGCAATGCGAGTGAAAGGAAACAAGCGTGTGTATCGTACTGCGTTTAATTTGCAACTAACTCATAAGATATATTTACAATATGTAGATATAAGAGCGTAATTCTAATACATTAGTTAAACATACCGCCCACCAAAACTAACAGTTTTCAAATAAACAATAAATAACAAATTACGAATACATGCAAAAAAAAAAAAACTATAACTTCATCTATAATAATTTCCTTACTTCAATAAATTTTAAATAATTAGTAAATAAGCTTTAAAGACTGTAAAACATCATTAATCTATGTAAATAAGTTTATATAATACTAACAAAGTAAAAGTTAATTTGTACAGATTGAAAACATTACATATATGCAAATTATAAAAGTTTTGTATAAATTAAAAACACAGTTTATAAATATATGTATACCTCAATAAATTAATAAACAAATAATTATGGAAAATGAGCCGCCCACCATTCAGTATATATTATAATTAACAGTCTTCATTTATTGGCAATG